GAGAAGTGGAGGGCTTAATGATGGGTGTATTTCACCCATGACCGGTCAAAGGTCAAGACCGGATAGTTGACCGGTCAAAGAAGTCAAACTTGCAAGAGAGGTCTGGATCGTCGGCGAAGGGATGATTGGTTGACCAAAAGGTTGACCGGTATACTTCAGATAGTATACCGGTCAAACTATACCGGCGTCTAATTCACCCTACGAAGTTGGCCACGCCAACCTACAAGAACCAAAAGGTGCAGTTCCTAGAGATTGGGGAAGTGTCGGCAGGAGGAATCCAAAAGGACTTGGACTGTAGTGTTTGGAATTGCAGGGATGCTGAGGGAATATTTCCAAACCAGAACGCGACAAGGGCGCCACCCCCCGCGCAAGATGACAAGGCAGCTCAGAGCCAGTCACTTCACACCACGCCAGCAGCATGCCCCCACGTGGGCGCACGTGGTCCTGCCCCCCAGCCTAGTATATATACCTCTTGTAACCCTCGAATAAGGGGATCCGAATTCACTCTCTCTAAACTCCCTTGTAAAAGTGACCGTGCACTCTCTGTTTTAATATAATTCGGGCTACAGGTGTTCAACTTAAAGTCCTACCGGTCATTCTGAGTGTTTTTACTTTCTTTACTTTACTGAATCAAGCCAACTATTCTAGACCCGGACTAGTATAGTTTGACCGGTCAAGTAATTTACACCATCACTCCATACGGACAACTGGGCTAAAGAAAAATGAGCCGCTAGGAATGAACGTCTAGACAGACATCTTGACAAATGAGGTGGGCCAAAATATGCTCCGATACCATGATAGAATTTATTAAGATTGGGTAGAGATAACTGGATTGGGCTATAAGACAATTAGGTTGAACAACATTCAAAGATTGAATCCAATCGATTAGTTAGTTCAACTCAAGAGCTTATATACTCATTATTTTCCTCACACTTTTCTGATTTGTGATACTCTTTAACAATATTTTTAGAAACTCAACACCAAAATACACTCCTCTTAAATCTCTCAGAAATCAAAACCTTCCAAAATTATGAGGCCGGACCGTGATATAATAATTAATATTTAAAACCAATTATCACGGGCTGAACCGTCCAAAGATATATGAGTCGGGACAGTGATAGAAATATTGTTGTTTTTTATTATATTTTTTTACCACTATTGGTATTATTTTTTATAGTTATTAATAGTCCGATATTATATGAATTAAAAAACTTTTTTTAAAAAAATTTGGACTCGTTATCATTTATTCTTTTGTTCATGATCTGTTTATTTAACAAAGGTGTACTTTTTTATACAAATTTATACATTTATTTTAATATTCTTTGAGTAATGTACGCTCATTTTTTGACACGATTTGAACATGAGTATGATATTGTATCGTTCCATTTCAAAATGGAATGGTAGCGAATGGTTTTATTTAGAGTTTATCCCGTACCGATAGCGAACCATTTAAACAGGAGCGAACCGTGATAGGTTCCGGTAATATCACATATCGTTACGGATCACGCCCACTGCTAATATTTAAAGTTGTATCCATTCTGATCTAATCTTGGCTGATTTGATCTGATCTGGTCTAATCTAATTTAATAAGAAAAAATAATAAGTAATAAAAAATAACTTGAAGAAAATTTGGCTTTTAATACGGAGTATAACTATATTCTACTCAAAATAGAACTTATTCAAATGAGATGAGAAGCATTCACATCCAAGACAACATGACCTAAATAAATGTGAACACCTCTATTAAATAGTGACCCTACCGTCCATGTGAGGGGAACGTGCATACTCCTCCGTATGATGCAACCGTTACGTATTTACGTGTCCATTTGGATCCATGTGCCACGCGTCGACGTGCTATTGCCCCTTTTATTTTCTATGAGTACAACTATTATTTTCATCCGTCTAATTTATTTAATTATTTTAATTCCAAAGAAGTCGTGAAAAATCTTATGATTGATTGATATAGTTCTCATTTTTCAAATTAGATGTCACATGTTCAAGTTTTAGTGAAGAGAAATACTAGAGTCACAAACATTTCGGCCACAAAAAACACAAACTTGTCATTTGTGTATTTTAATGTTTACTTTTTTAATTATTCAACATCATTTTGTTCATTTAGAGAGGTGCACAAATGACAAGGTTGTGTATTTTGTGACCGAAAGTGTTTATGACTCTAGCATTTCTCTTTAGTGAATATTAATTTGTTGTGTTTCATTATTTCTTCAGTTTAAGTAAAATATTTTCAATCACATGTATTTTAATTGCTCTCAATGTCATAGATATCTCCAAATTGATCTTTGTAGTTTTCAAGACAAGTTAAAAAAGTATAAATTTATCAAGATATTTTTAATAAAGGTGAACACAGTACTCTATATATATATATATATATATATATATATATATATATATATATATATATATATATATATATATATTAAACTCGGACAAACACAACGAGCCTTTGCGAAAAATCAAAAGATATATGACAAATTGAGAGAGTATTTACTATAAAAAATTGAGTGCGGCATAATCTTAATTTTATAAGCATTTCAAAATTAAAAGTATACATCTTATTCTGCACATGATGAGTGAGACCATATTATTTAAACTTATTCTTATTATTTACGTAGTACGGAGTATTACCTTTTCTTATTACAATCAATTCAGATCAGATGAGACCAGATAAGATCAAATCAAATCCAGAACAACTTTAAATATAACTATATTCAGATCATATCAAAATTAATTCTAATAAGATCAGAATTATTCAAATTAGATGAAGAAAACATGGTCTGAGTGAAGGAGTAAATTAAATAAACTATAATGTCTGTGCAGACATCTCAAAATGGAAAATGTACACATCCTAACTTATTTTTTTAAATAAGCAATATATGGAGTAAATCATAAATGGTTTCTTCAAAAAAAAAAAATACTTCGGGGTAATATTTTTAATTTGGGATGTCCCAATTCAAAAATAAAAATGAAAGCTAACCAACCAACCAACATATCCCACATGATATCATGTGCCAAAGTTTCTGTGGTCCGGTTAGCGGATTGGGGCCGGGCTTTAAACAAATTTAAAGAAAACTATTTTCATAAAAATAAGCCATGTTTATTGTTCAATGTGCATATATAATACGGAGTATATTTAAGTTTGTTGTGTAGTGGAGTGCTATTTATTTGATAAAATGAATAATATGAACAGGTATTTAAAATAAATTAATTGATTAATTTTATTCCAGATTTTGTTTTCATCCATATACATTTTTATATTACTCGATCATACCGTCTCAATTTATATTGTTTGTTCAATATTCGCACGATCAAACATTAATCATTTTCATAACCTATTTTTGATACGGAGTACTCATTTGATAAAATCATATAAAATATATCATTTCTTGTTTTTTAGATATATATAAATCTTATTTTTTAATTTTGTAATAGTTTTCATTTAAAAGGAATTGAAAATAATTTCAATCAAACTTCGTAAATCAAAATGCGTAAATTTAAATTGAGACAGAGAGAGCCAAATAAATTTTTTCGAATGCCCCGAAAAGGAAACGAAGAGTCTTTTTTAGGAGGGAATATATTTATAACACATCAATTAAATTCATTTCAACAGCTCACGTAAAAAAAAAGGTTCAATACATTACTAGTACATCCTTTGTCCCAATTTTTTTACCTTCACACTCTTAAAAAAGTACGTAGTATTTTTCTAATTACAGTTTAAAAAAAGTATTGATAGTTACAAAAAATATGGTTATAGTTTATTAAGGAAAAAATAATATAAACCACTCATTAATTTTCTTCAAAGAGTAAAAAGAAAATATAAAATTTATTTTAAGACGAATGAAAAAAAATGTGAAGTATTATTTTGATCAATAAATGTGTGTACACAAACCAAAAAAACGTAAAACACCAAAAGAATATATCAATTGTGTGCATGTGTAAAGGGGCCAAAAGTGGTGGCTTGCATGAACTTAGTAAAAAGTAGCATTCACTAAAAGTGAATGGTTCTTAAAAAATATTTTAATTTATTCTTATTACTACGTATTTACTACTCATATCAAATACAAAAAGTAGCATTCACTAAAAGTGAATTGTGTGCATGGAGTATGACATCATTTATTTTTGTAGGAACAAGATCACATACAAAACAACTTTAAAAATAATTAGAATCAAATCAATCCAAAACAGGTTTTAATAAAATTAGATCAAATCATATCAAATAGAACATGCTATTAATGATTGACATAAAAGGCACGAATTACTAGTATATACTAAACTTGCAATTTTAAAGCACTCACTAATCACCATCTAAACAATAGAATCAATAAGCACATGAGTCATGGCCTCCCCCACATCAACAATGAGTTGAATAAATGATAGTACATCAATAAAATGTTGAGTAAAAAATGAATAAAATCAAACTAATTGAAGAAAAATGGACACTTGAGTAAGGTTGTCGAATGGTACCCTGCAACGTTCGTGGCTTTATTTTCCTTCGGCCACAAACCGCATTGGCCTCTCGACTTCCATGTAAGAGAAAAGTTTGCATATATGCACTTCCCAAACCCTACTTCTGTGAGACTCTACTGATTTTGCTTGTTGTTGTTGTTGTACAAACACTTGTATTGGAGAGAATCCTTGCCCCGGAAGAATGGGTGATATTTTTTTTAAAAAAAAGAATTATTTTACGGGTGACGTTAAACATGGATGGTCAGGACAATATAGCAGGGTTGTATTTCAGGAGGGGGGGGGGCACCATACTACGAAGGACACCATTGCCGGAATTGCCTTGGGGGGGGGGGGAGTGCCCTAGCATATACCGCCTCTGCCACTAAGTCAGCTGTATGAACAATTGAATGAATAAACATAGGGATTAGAATGTAGTTGTGCTGTGGTTGCTTTCACTGGCAGATATAGATGGGGTTTCAGTTTTCACACTGCGGGAGCTTCTGCCATTGATATCGAGACCCTGGAAGTGGCCCACAGGATCTTGCTGCTGCTGCCATTGATGATGATGATACTGAGGAGGAATCTGCATGCTCCGCGACTCAATTGATTGCGGTTCATGTGAAAACAAGGTGGTTTGCTGACTGTACGACTGCATTCCCAAACTGTAGATGTCATCCGAGGGGGCTGCCATTTCCCCTGTAGCTATTCTGAGTCTTTCGACCTCATGCTTCAGTGCGTCGTTCAAAGCTGTGTTTTTTGAACATGTGGAGCAAGGATCAAAAGCAGACAATATCATACTAATATGGGTTAGGGTGATGCAAGGGCAGTCCCACATAGTTGGGGTAGGAAAACGAAATGAGCAATGAGGTTTTGCAAAATGCCTACCATCACGTAGTTGAGCCTGTTGTTCCATGGCTTGCAAACGGAGCTTAAGCTCAGTGTTCTCATTACTTAGACATGTTGTATCCCTCTGCAGAGAGAAAAAAATGTAAATAGGTCTACATTATTGGACCCGAGAAATAGTCTATGTAACTTCCACACCAAACTAACTTAGTATGGTACGCGGGGCAAAGAGTAGAGAGGATGTTTTCAAGAAGACTCTACAACAACAAACCCATTAAAATCCCACAACAATAGGGTCTAGGGAGGGCAGTGTACACAAACCTTACTCCTACTCGGAATAGGGTCTGGATGTATGGTGTTAGGCATGCTAATTAAGAGCAATTTTCACAATTTTAGAAGTGGATAAAGTACAACTATGAACAATGAAAATATACAATGCAACAAACCTGGAATAGGGTGAGTTGTGCAGAAAGAGTGGTAGCTTCTGTTTGAAGGGTCTGAACTTTCCTCTCAAGTTCGGATATATAGCGTGCCTTCCGCTCTTTTGATCTAGCAGCCGATTGCCGATTCGCTAGAATTCTGTGCATGATATTATTCTCAATAAAGTCAGACAAGTTGGGAATTGAAATAGCACATCACCCAACCTCAAGAATTGCATTGACAAAATGATAAGATTATAAATTAGACAAACTAAGTTCATAAATGATGTGTGTACAGATATAACCAACAAATTAACTGTAACACTGCGTGTCCATAATGATATGACACTGAAATATTAAATAGATAGTCTCTAAGGTCTTTGGGTACATTAGAATTAGAATAGCTAATTGATTGGGTTAAATTGAATGATATTTGAATATATATGATTTTTAATACAAAAATTATACGGAGTATGCTTTTGTTCAATACAAAGTGATTGTTTAGCAACCCAACAATTTAGAAACATGTAAAATGACTATGTTATCCCTCCATATTTGCTTCACTTTAAGTGTAAATCTATGAAAAAACAATTTAATTGGAACTTGAAATAACACAAAATTTGCTTACATGAGATTTACTTGGGAAATGTCAGAGTATCCCTTAGTGTAGGATTAATGAAGCTCCCAAATGGATGAGAGGAATAACTCAAAATCATACTAGTATACATTGATTTGTATGTTTATATTTGTTCCATGTTTAATAATTTGACATAAAAGGAAATAGGTGGGCCTAAACAGACCAAGCAGATCTAAAAGACAGATTAATTATAGCTAGTTTGAACTTTTAAACAAATGTTTAAACAAATGATTGTTATCTCACTACCTAACCTTTATTAATGGTTAAACTATCACATAATATGCTAAATATAAGAATACAAACCATAAGCAAAGAGTCTTAATATTAGCACGAAGAGATGAAATTGGCATAAGATCCACAATACCTTTTGGCTTTTTTGGGATCAATTGTCCAGAGCTCAGCCAGCTTATCCGGAGCCATGGCTTTCTTAGCCTCAATCACACCTTCCCCAAGCATCATGAAGCTCGAGCTATCCACGGAGTTGCTATGCCGGTGTCGGGGACGGATCTGGTTCTTCATCCCGCCATTCCCACTCTCCTCCGCGCCTCCACCGCCGGCATTGTCGACACCCGCATCTCCCGGGCCGGATCCGCCGCCTATCTTCTCCATGTCCATGTAGGTCGAGAAGAGATCGTCCTCCGATCCGATCTCCTCGAAGCTCCCCGCCGGAGCGGCGTTCAAGGTGTCAGAAGCCAGATCCATGTCCTCCGGCAGACGGAAGTTGACTTCGGAGTGGGCTCTCCGGTGGTTCGACTGCCGGAATGGGGGCGGACACGGCGCCGTTCCGGTGAAGAACGGCTTGGAGTATGCCGGATCTTGCATCTTGAGAAGAGTGAAAGTGAGGATGAGAAGTGGGAGCTCGAATTTTGGTGGGAGATTTTCAGAGAGGAAAAAATGGAAGGTTTTGAAGAGCTTAAAGTAAGAGGCGAAGTAAATCGGGTATGGTTTCGGGTTATAGCGGTGGGTTTGACTTTTGATCCAAAAAAGAAAAAAAAGATATAAATCGGGTGGGAATATCGTCGACTTTGAGTTTTTTTTTCCTTTTTTTTGTTGAAAAATATTATTGAACATATTATCCGGTTAAAAATAAGAGTGGTAGACCGGTTGTACTGTAAGAGCTTGTTCTTTAGAATTGGAAAAAATGAGTTGGATACTGGAAGAAATTAGAATAAACTGGAAGAAACTGAAAGAAATTTTAAGAACTCGAAGAAACTAGAACAACCTGGAAAAAATTAAAAAGTTCTGAAAAACTATAAAAAATTAGAAAATCAAAAAAAATTAAATTTTTTTGGTGTGTTTTTATATTATTCTCATTGTAATTTTTGTTGTTATAAATTATTATTATTATTATTACTATTACTATTATTATTATTAGTATTATTATTATCGGTGTTTTTGTTGTTGTTGTTGTTAGCGTCATCACGCTATCTTAATGAATGTCTTTAAAATAAAATTTTTTTATTTTTCATACAAAAAATTTACATTTGAAACAAAAATTAATTAGAATATAAAATTAGTATTAATATCAAAATGTTAAATACTTTAAAATTATTATGGTTATGCAGTATTTATCATAAAAAATATATTTGTAATTATATTTTATATATATACAAAATTTTGGTTTAAATATCAGACATGTCACATAATGTAATTAAACTAATTTTTTTTAATGATTGACATTTTATTTTCATTGTAACCTTACTTTTGGAATAAAGACATAGAACTTTTTTTTATATTTTTTTATTTTACTCCTACTTTAGTCATTTTCTCTAAAGTACTTTGACTTTCAAAATTTTTTATAAAAATTAGAAAAATGAAAGAAAAAAATTTAAATAAATAAAAATAAAAAAATGAGTAATAAAGTATAAATTTTCGTTATTTGTATAAATTGACTTTCAAAATTTTTTGTTAGTTTTATTTTAATTTTTGGTGATATTATTTGTTATCTGAATTTCTTTTTTATACTTTTTTGGATCACTTTTTCTTTTTCAAAATGTAGTTGTATCTTGGTTTTCATAATGTAGTACTCTCCACCCCATTCCATTTTTATATTTTAGATTAAAATATTAATGTTTACCTTATATAAATTTAAATTTAAAACACATTCTATGTAACTATTTTATCCATAACTTTTTGAAATAGTTTAAAATATTGATGTTTTCCTATTTTATCATATAGATTAATATACAAAAAATGGTATTATTCATATTAAAAAATTGAAGAAAAAATAATAATGAGTGTGAATCATAAAAATAGTGACATGAAAAAAAAGAATAATTAATAAACTATAGTTATGAAAATAATAGTTGTAATAATAATAATAATAATAATAATAATAATATATTGTTTTTAGAGTGATTTGTCGAAAAGTAGAAAGAGTTTGAAGAAAATAAAGTAGTTCAAAGAAACTGGAAGAGATTGGAAAAAACTAGAAGAAACTCGAAAACTTTGGAAGGAACTGGAAAAAACTGAAAAGAACTGGAAGAATTGTAAAAAACTGGAAGAAATGAGAAAGAATTGGAAGAAACGGTAAAGAACTGGAAGAATTGTAAAAAACTGGAAGAAATGGGAAAGAACTGGAAGAAACGGGAAAGAACTGGAAGTTAAGAATTCAAACTCTAAAGAGCAGACTCTAAAAATCATTAAGACCATCAATTTAGCATTGTGTTTTCGTATTTGGCGCTGTCTTTTTGTATTATATTTGAGATTATTTGGTACTCAATATTACTTTCTCTTTCCCATAAATATGTTCTCATTTTGACTTTTATGAAATTTAATGGAAGGATATTTTTGTGTTAATTTTCCAAAAATACCTTGATGTGATGCTAAAAGTAAGATGCGATAGGTAGATTATTAGTAAAAAGATATGATGTAATAAGTATTTTAAAAATTAGTAGGGGTAAAAGTGGTTTTAAATTAAAAAAAGGTAAGGAGTTTGTGGGACAAAAAAAGAAACGAGGAGTTTTTGGGACAGTTGGGAGTGTAAGTTATATACTCCCTTTCGTTCTAAAAACCTTTTATGTTTTGAGTTTTTTGGGTCAAATAGTGACATTTTTTTACTATAAACTAAACATAATCTAAATAAATACGAGTAAATAAATAATATAAAAATTTGATATATCAAAACTATTATGGGGTATATCCTATCTAAGATGCACTCATTTATATTGAATTTGCTCCATCTGTCATAAAATCATCTTCTCAATTCCCTTCTTTCTCTATCCTAAAATTACCCTCCCACATAAAAAATCTCTATTTTCTTATTAAAGGACATTAGTACGCCTATCTCAACTAGGACCGTGCTACAGTGCACCCACCCCTTCCTCCTTTGTTGCCTCCTTATTTAAGCTTTTTTTTTACCTTTTCTCCTTCATTTTTTCCTTTTTTCTTTCCTCTACGACCCGTTCGCAGGTCGCCGCCGGCCAGTTACCTTACCCTTTGCCGTCGACCTGTTCCCAGTCCCTCACCCCACCCTTTCGCCGGTCTGTTCTCGCCGGCCAGTTACCCTTTGCCGTCGATCTCTCCTTAGCCGCCGACCCAGCCTCTTCCTTCGCGGCCGACCAGCCACCACCACCGCCAGCTACCCCCCCTCTTGCAACAGCGGAACCACCCCAGCCCCCTCCCCCATAGCCCCTAGTCAGTACACAATCCAGCCCCAACCCAGCCCCCACACAATCCAGCCCCAACCCAGTACACAATTCAACGACATGATTTTGGTGGTGAAGAAGAAGACCTGGTTTTATATGACTTTCAGGCCAGTTGTAAGTGTTGATATTTAGACCCCATTCTATATTCATTTGAAGTAGTGAAAAAATATTGTTTTGTTTTGGTCTTACAAAGATTAAAGTTCTGTGAACCTAGGGTTTGTCCTTGTCACAGATGCTAATAATCTGTATTTGGTGTATTTTTGTTTTCTTCATAGTCAGGCATTGTATTATATTAAAGGTTCTGTTTTTTTGCAGCTTTTGAACCAGATTTGTTTCTTAACGATCCTTGTTTTCAATATTTATTTAACGACAAAGGGCAAGAACAGGCGAGTGGTGAGATCGGACAGAACACAGATGTGAAGTGTTCCATGCACATAAACTGATGTAAACCTGATGTAACTATGTCTTCACATACATTAAGTCTCTGTGAAGTGTGTGAAATAGACAGTTATTACATGTGAGCTCGCTGAAATCTAATGTATGCGTTTTAAGTTTCTTTTTACCTTTACAAGACCCCAACATATGTGATAAGATTCTGAAGATGGTGTGTGTACATAAAGTTATGTAACTCTGTCGTCACATACATTAAATATCTGTGAAATGGGTAAAATAGACAATTATTCTCTGTGAGGGCTCTGAAAGTAAAAGAACGTAAATCAGTCATAAACTAATGTAAATGAGTCATCACATACATTAACACATTGTGCATTAACAAGTACAAATTCATGATTATACAAGCCCCATTACAAAGCTTTCAAAAAAAAATCTAAAGTGTTTCCCCCAAAAATACATTACAAAGCACATAAACCATTACAAAGAGTTTCACAAAAATTAAAGACCCCTAAAATTGTAAAGTAAAAATGCTAAATATTGGGTGTGTTCCTTCCACGTCATAACCTAGCTGCAAATTGACATCGGAAATCAGCCATGTGTTCAGAACTGCAATCCGGGCTTAATGGTAAGCCCACCAACAAATACTCTAGAAATGCAAGCACCATCACTCCACAATTGTCACACCTGCAAGGGAATGATCCAGAATTCATCGTCTGGTTGATGGCTTCACGGATGTCAGAACAAACTGAGTATTGAGCTCCAAAATGAGCACTAACAGGGATTAACAAAGACATCATCTGAAAAGAAGTTCAATTAACAGAAGTTAAATATCTACACAGACAATAATCATATATGAAGTTGAATTAACAGAATTTAATCTTCTATGCGAAACAATTCACATAAAGTAAGCAAAAATAACAAGCAAACCTCTTTCACAGACAATAATGTTATATGAAGTTCAATAAAGAGAAGTTAATCGTCTATGAGATACAATTCACAGAAAGCAAGCAAAAATAACAAGCAGACATCTTTCACAGACAATAATGTTATATGAAGTTCAAATAACAGAACTTAACCATGTATGTCATACAATTCACACAGTAAGCAAAAATAACAAGCATTCAAAGAAACTGGGAATACCTAATTTCAATGAAAAAGAACATCAAAATGAAACTGCATTATGGAGATTTGAAATTACGCAAACATACCATTATCAAATCCACAACTACATTAACACACAGTTTAAAAACACCAAGGAAACTGAAATTATCAGTAGAGAGATCAAGAAAGAGACCAATGAAAGGGAAATTGGCGTCAGTACCTGTTCCGGCAGGGGTGGGGCTGCCGGCGCTAGAGCTGGAGGGGTTCCCGAGCTGCCGACGCTGGAGCTGGAGGGATGGGGCTGCCGGCGCTGGAGCTGGAGGGCTGGACTACCGCGCGTAATCCCACTCGTAGATGCCGGGCTTCGAGACTGGATTGCCGCAGACCTGCGCTGGAGAAGGGAGATTTGGGAATTTTAGGGGAGGGAGACGAAAAGACTAAGAAAAAAGGAAAATTGAAAAAAAAATAAAAGTTAAATATATTAGGTGGCATGCTTGGAGGCACACGTGGTGCCTCTTTAGCATTTTCCATCTCAACTATCTTCATCTTCTTCTCTGTTTCATCACCTTCATCTCCACATCTTCATCTTCCGCTCTCACTCACGTCTTCGATCTCTTGTTTTCTTTCTTCTCCTTTATGTCTTCTCTTGTCTATATTTGCAGTGGAGTATAGGTACAGCAGGACCACATCCAAGGCACCAGATCCACCTTCTCGATCAATTCGGCTCTTCCTCTTTCTTTTTATTGACTAAGTTAGTCTTTCAAGTAATTCATCAACCTTCCAAATGTAGTTTTTTTACGATAAACATTAAAAACTAAATGGAGTACTAACTCCTTATATATATCTTCCGACCTGCAATGGGTGCAAGATGCAACTAACTCCATATATATAATTTCCGCGTTCCGCCTAGTGCCAGATGCAACTTTCGACCCACAATGGGTGCTCGGCGTTGGCCCTGTCATCCGAGCAGCGCAGCACAATGCGTCTTTCCCTCTAATTGTAAATGATGGTGATAATTTTATTTTCAAAGGGGTTCAATTTTGTATATAGTAAAGAACACTAAACTTTGATTGAAATCGTGGAAATCAATTAATCACCTACATATAAGTACAAGTACTCCATATTATATATGAGAGTAGTAATCTGTTTATCTTTTAACGTGTACCGTAAAAAGAAATGTATTTTGAGGATTCATAAATACTTGAAGAAACTACTTATGTACTTTTGAAACTTGAAAGACTGCATGTGAAAAGTTATTAATACTTGAAGGATGCACAACTCATAAAGTTAAAGAATCAATCGTGAATTTTGGTCTTTATAATAGTTAGAATTTCGTTTGATGACTTTATAAAATAAATTAAACATGTTAAACGTTGTGGTGTTCTTTCATTTCAATTAAACAAACAAAGTTAACTAAACTTTACTTGTAATAATTAAAACGAAAGAACACCACTACGATTTACAATATTAAATTGGTTCCTTTCCATCATAGAACTTGTTGACCATTGAAGTTAGCTTCCCAATTAATAAGGAAAAACAATTTGTGCATAATTACGATGTGGCATGCTAATAGAGTGAATTTACCAAAAACAATGTGTACGAACGGAACTTGTGGAGATGATCTACATAATAAATATTTTTGGATGCATGAAATAATTACTCCGTACTTACAAATTGACATCAATACCCTTTTCATTTGTTTTTATCCTCCAACTAGAGATCTTACATGCGCGGTCAAATATGTATCTAAAATGACTGCATGATTGAATATTTAGTTAAATGGTAAAAAGAATAAATATATAGTAGAATAATACAGAGTATTCCGTATTAAATTGTAAATTTGAATATAAATTATACTTGGAGTATTTCATTATTGAATCACATGCACCAAATTTAATTAATGAAAAGTACAAAAAAAGCTTTTAAGAAAATTAAAGTTTCACGTGCAAGACTCGAAAAAGAATACGTCTGCACGTGATGGGGAGTGTTAGAATATAAATAACTCTTCCTGGACCACAACCACAAGCTTGAGATGGTAGTTCCTCGGGCCAGTTATCCGATGAACCCCATATATGAATATTTTTAAATAATTTATTAATAAATGATTTATATTTATATGATTTATTAAAACACCCTATATATACTTCATATTACTATTAGAGAGTATTTTAAACAAAAAAATCCTCAGCATGTCATTTCAATGGTGAAACTTCAATGTTAATAACAAAAAACAATATTGGTATAGTTTGGGTGCAGGAGACTTTGAGAGAATTTGAAAAGATGCAAAAAAATGCATCTTTGTATGATGCTCATTTTTTTTTTCTCTACAAAAACTACAATAATACAAATTATGGAGTATATTTTATTAAAATCGTGTCAATTCAAGCTGAAAAGAAAATTATGAGACGGGGGAAATATTTTTATACTTCTTTGTCCTATTGAATATAAATAAATTAAAAAAATAAATTAAAAAAACAAACTCTAAATAGATATTGATAGTATACCAAACAAAAAAAAAATCTTCAGAATGTTACGTGTAGTGGATGATGTTCACTACAAGTAGAACAAATAACATTAAATTAACATTATTGAATTAATTGTGATGAACAACATCCACTACAATTTACAATACTAAGATTTTCATCTTCATAATGGAACTTCGCGCACTTTGGAGCTAGCTTGACATTTAATAAGAAAAAACAATATTGCTAGAGTTCCGGTTTGGGAGAATTTGAAAAACGATCTTCTTTTTTGTTAAGCAATCCTTGTATACAAATATAAATATCAAATTACACTTTACTAAAAATCATGTCAACTCAAACAAAAAAAATAAAACTATGAGACAGGGACAATATTTTCATACATCCTTTCTCTACACTTAATATTTGTTGCCACATTGAATTTTTAGTCTTTTAAATTTAACATTACTAGTATTTTCATCCGTGCGATACACGGGATCGAGCAAATGAATTTTTTCACTCAGTTATTTTTTCTTTGTAGTTAACGATTAAAAAAATCGTGCAACAAATAATATCGAAGAATGCAATGACACCACTAGTGACACCGTTGGCCAGTGTCAACGGAACCATGCCCGTGATAAAATGATAGGGCAATGCTAGGGGTACACCAACATGGGGTACCCCAAGTGTACACCAAGCCAACACAGACACACAAACACCAAATGTCACAGACACTTTGTGTCTTGGTGTACATTTGGGGTACCCCATGTTGGTGTACCACTAGCTTAATTCAAAATGATAATATCATATCAGTAAGTTTAAAACATGGCCAATATCACTTCCGTTTTTAAAACTCTGTCCAAATTTTTAATCCAACCGCTCTTTGCCTCTGTCTACTTGGGACACTGTAAATGGAGGTGGTGGAAACAATTTGTACATGTCATTGTTATTATATCAACTCTGATATAATATATACATCTCAAACCTCTATAACTTTATGTCATCTCAAAAACAAAAAAAATTACAAAAGATAGATTACAGTAAGAGAGGAAAGCATATATACGTGTGTGTATATATATACAGATTTTGGTTTAGGTGAGAATGCAATCTTATGAAAGAAATAAGAATGAATCTGGTGCCTTAGAATGTGAGATCTAAGGGTCAGGATTGCATCAAAATTAGGTGCACCAAAATGATTTGAAAATGCATAATGTCGAAATGCACCAAAATCCTTTAAAAATGCATTATCTAAAAATCTGAGTGCAGGATGCAATCTGAGCCGCAAGATGCATCAGATCCAAAGGCTAGATTTTATTCTTATTTCTTTCACCAAGGTGCATTCTCACCTGAACCGCCCCCTATATATACATATACATACATATATATATGTTCTCACTCAAAGTAATTACAGGCGGCCGAGTTAGTGGAGATCTTGCAAACTGAACACTATAGCCAGCTTGATGATGGCTTACTGCAAGAGATGGGCTGTGGTGATGAATAATTGTCTGGAGCTGCCTTCGCGAGGGAACGATACTGTAATTTTACACTTTCTGCATTGTCCAGTGTCTTCACCACGTACCTGTATTACGGATCACCCGAGTGTTTAACAATGAAAAAAACTTGGGAATTGAAAGGGGTTGGGGGAGAGCAAGTTGAATGAACTTTGATTGGTCAAACATGACACATTTTTCGGGGGGGAAAGTAACATTTTTCAGGTTTGTTGCTGTATATCCATTCTGGGTTAAGGGTTGTTTGTTGGCACAAAGACATGAAGGTTTAGTGAAGACGAAAAAAACAACTTTTGGGGTACACAAAACAAACAAAGCCCAAAAAATTTACTTTGATGCATTGTTACAAGGGAAGAGAAGATTACCATCCATTCAAGCATTGAGTGGTAACTACAGCTTCTCGTCCAACAAAACGCAGAGGTGTGCGTTTGTTACCCTGTTTTTTTTTATATTACTGACAAAATCAAACTCCCTTCCACAACTCAATGATAATGAATATATAAAGGTCCCGTTTGTTACACGGAATTCAAACTATGGAATTGGAATTGAGGACTTCAATTCCAATTCTCATGTTTGGTAGCACAAAAATCATGTGGATTTGGAATTGGTAGTGCAAAAAATGAATTGGAATTGGTGAATTCAATTCTATGGAATTGAATCCCATGGAATTTTAATTCCAATTCAATTTCAATTCCATCAATTCCGTGTACCAAACGGACCCAAATAGAAATTGGGATTTCTTGAACCTTTATGATGACTCTGTCTGTCACCGCAAATGGAAAGTGGACTCCTCTTCCTCTTGGATGGTCGGTGAGCATTGAGTCACCGGATGTACCCTTATCCTGCTCATAAAATTTATGTTGCCCGAGTAAGGTAAAAGAATCTTATTAATAGTTTTTAACTGTCAATTCTTTCACACCAAGATTGTCTTCTTATTTTGTTCGCTCTAAAAGTACATGCTTCCGGTACGTACACATCCTGCATTTACTTATCATTCTACAGCATTAAACACTACATGTTCTTTACACCTCAATTTCAACGGTAAACCAACAAATAAATTTGGATGGAGTGCATGTAAAGACAAATAAAACATGTGCAAACCTGGTCATGTTTTTCCTTTCGACTTCTTGATTGGCGGTTAACTTGGAAGTCTTCTTCTCTACGGAATGCCTGGACAGCAGCCCGGAGAGCTAGGTATGGTGGCAAGAAATACATAAATCAACAGACTTTAATGAATAATTGGAATACACACACACACACACACACACATAACATTTTCACATTAGGCTCTATTTGTTTCCAAGAAATTACTTCTAAAAAGGATTTTCCATGGAAAATAAGATGCCCTATGCATATATAATATCTCTAAAGAAGAAAATATGTTCTTGAAACGGATTCTTTATTAGCCAACCAAGATAATATGTAAGGTATAGTTTGAGAATGTAAGAGTTCAATTATAGTTTAAACATTGTATCCATTTAGTTCCTCCTCGATCACTATATATCTCCATCACGCAGAGCGATGATTATTTTACTCCCTCCGTCCCATTAAAAGAGTCCTATTTTGCCAAGGTGCAACTTTTAAATTTTAGTAATGTATAAGTACTACTTAAGTCATCAATAACATGTTTCCAAAAAATAAAATAAAACCATCAATTTCAGCTATATTTTGAAAATCGTTTTGGGTTTAATTAGTTTTAACATATATAACTTGTTTGGGACACTTTTTTTTATCAAATTAACATTAGATATAACAAAAATTAACTTTTGTTCAAATATAATTCTTTTTTGGACTAAGACAAGTCTTCAAATAAGACTCTTTTTTGGGACGGAGAGACGGGTATCATAGCTATAGTACCTTCTGTTTTTTAAACCATGTTAAACACTTCTCATTTACTCAACATAGCATGAAATATAAGATGAAAATTTCAAATCACAAACTAAAAAAACTTATGCAGAGCAAGAACAGCCATCAGAAACAATATTGGTAATTCCCATTACAGAACATCATGACAAAAGATTAACGGAGTATCTCATGGTAAGATTTAATCTCAATGGGGGGGGGGACAGTCCACTTACATAGATTTGGGGCTATTGATTCTTCAGAGACTGGTTGTGCACAATTATAGCAAGCTTTCTGAAAATGCACACCAAAAAAATTTGTCTACTTGCATGAGAAATGCTTATATTCCAGAACCAAATTCATTTCGTAAATAGTATAACTCAGATTGGGAATTAAATAAATCCACAGTAGTGGAAAGGAACAAAAAGTCCCTACCTATAAGGAATATGGTATATTTTTTTGTCATTCAATTTCAATTTCATATGTGAATAAATTCTCTGAATACTCACCATTCTAACTACATGCTGAGCTCCTCCAGAACCAAAGGAATGCCCACAAGGCAATATCACTGCATCATCCATAAGTGCACCTCTGTAATTAGAGTTATCAAAAGAATCTTTCAATGCATCATTTGGCAACACTATCTATGGAGGGACAACATCAAAAAACACTTCAAGATTTAGTTGACTCATATGCAAGAACAGGAATTCGTATACAACTTACGATATGGGATCAGAAAGGATAGCTCTCAAGGACTCCCCTATATCACTTGAATATGATGAACTCTCTCTTCTCCCACTATACCCACACCCTTTATCACCCACCATAATATCCTTTTGGCACGAATTCGACCCTGATCCCTGCATGTAATACATTGCCCCATTGGTCTCTGCAATTGCCAATGCGTTTCTGGCTTCGTCCACACTGCTTCCACTCAAATTCCCTTCTTTAGAGCCTTATCGGAATAGAAACGAGCACAAAAGAAGAACATTAGGTTTCCAAGATTGGATTTTTTTTACTGGATTAATCGATTTTCTATTTTCTGAAAGGAAAATCTTACCGAAATTGGGCACATCATTTGCTTTTTGATTTCCACTGTCGTCAGTGCTACAGTTATTGTTAACTTTACTAATACTGTCGTGATTGTCAACATCTACACGGCATTCGGCTCCGTGTTCATCTTCGTCGTCGTCTTCTCCGTCTTCATCCGATCCGTCGCCGCTGGGAGTGCTCGAATCTCGGTCATTCCATCGGTGGGCGAACATGGGGCCGCGGAAATCGGCGGCGGCCTGCGGGACGGGGCGGAAGTAGTGGTGGTTGTTGAGAAAGCCGGTGAGCTCGCGGGTTGTTTTAGGACCAGGGCCGGCAACAGCGGCGGAACTGCGGCGAGGATGAGGCTGCGGCGGCGGCGGGGCGCAGCTGAAGCTCTCCGGGAACACCAGCTGGGGGTGTGGGCTGAGCCCGTTGTCGAGACGTTGGGCCGAGAAAAGGCCCATTTCTTCAGAGGCCATTGAAGAGGGAATGGGAAGCTGGGGACTTGTTGTAAATTGGAGAAGAGGGGATCGAGGAGGATTTTTTAGGGGTTGCAGTGGAATGGAAGAGGAAATGGGAAAACGACGCCGTTGCATCGAGGTGAGGTGAAGTCCAAAACGTAGAGAAAAATCTGTAGGGTATGGAGCCGTAAAAAAGGGCTCCAACAACGGCAACAAGGTCACAAAGGGGACACAGCTGAAAGTCAACGCCCTATGACTCCTAAAATTTACCTACTCTCCCGTCTCCCCCTCCCCCTCCCCTAGGCAAAAGATTTTGAAGAATTTCTTAAATAAGAATAAAAATTTATGAAAATACTAAAATTCGAATCATAAATCTTTTAAAATTAAAATATGAGTTTACATTGTCACTGTTTCACTATCACACTCATCACATTATCACATTATAACTGCCACATTGCAATCATGACACTGTTATCGTCACCGCCAGCCAACCGAGTGTTGTCACGGATCACCGATGGTTGACACTCGCATATTACACTATTATCACTTTTTCAGCATACTACCAATGCGTACTCTCACACTACACTGTCATTATACTCTTATTTTGGTCTTTGAAGATTTGAGATTCCTATTTTAGTATTTCATATTTTTTTGCTCATATCCAAATATATTTCTTAAAGATTTTCTTTTCAAAACAGCGGGAGAGCGTTGCACAATATGGAGTATTAAGGTGGTAAGAACTTGTTTTTTTACATGATTTGATTGGTTCTAATCTGATTAGAATAAATTTGATCTCATTATAGTTATATTTAAAACTATTTTGATCTGATCTGATTTCAATAAAAATAATCAATAAATAAAAAAGAATAAGTCAAAGAGAATAATTTTTTCTCTCCTCTACATCACTTTTAGCAACATAATTTTAATTTCTTAAGAGCTTGTGACAAACCAAATAAGGAATCTTATTTTGAGACGAAATGAACAATTAGGAATGCTCTATCTCTTTTTAACATAAAGTTGCCCATTACTATGCATTATTTTTTGAAACCAAATTAAAGGCTTGTATTTAGGCAATTTAATTTGGGACAAACAGAAAAATGAAAACAAACAATGTAAATTGTAACGGATGAAATATTGAAGTGAGGTTAAAAGGGGATGAGTCTCATCCCTAAGGACTCCGTCAGACCCGGTCGGATGGTCATTGAGATGAGGAAAATTGAACTTTGATCGTAAATTGATGACAACGACTGAAGCCTGAACCTATTACTTCAGAGGCTCTATGATTAGCATAGTCGCCTCCTAGGGTAGTTGTCGAACTCAAGTGTTACCCCCTTGGCACTTGTTGTTTTTGTCAACTGCGCAACGCCATGACAAAGTGAGGTTTCAATAAAGCGTGGAGGTGAACCAACTCACTCTCTCATGCTCTAAATTAAACACGACACTTGCGCTTATATTTCCCATACAAGTGGGTGCCATCAACAGAGATCACGGGAAAACAGTACTTGAACCCATCTATAGACGCTTTGAAAGACCAGAAAACGTACATGAATTGAAAATTTTGTGGCGTTGTTGTTGGCCGCATTTGTATTTTGGCCACTGACCCAGGATTGCGTAGCGCCACTGCAAATTGAAGGCTTTTGAAATCACCGTACCGATATCCAATCTGAATTTCAAGGATACGGAACGTTGGTTGTAGTGAGACTTCTTCAACGTGCCTAGGGATCGGAAATTCTAGAATTCCTTGTTCAGCAATGTTAATAGGCTCCTCTGTGTACACGTCTTGGTGTGTACATAGAGACCCATCCAGATACTTCATACTCATCTGAAGAGCTCTCTTGATCAGAATTAGCAACGTACGTCGGATCCTCAGAGTCATCTTCATCATCCATGTCTCGTGTTGTGTTAGACGGCCCCGCCTCATCAACTTGGTGTTGGTGATGAGCTTGGTGGTTATGAGCTTGGTGGTTTTGCTCTTCCTCCATTTCTTCTTCCTCGTTAGCCAACACTTCAACTTGGTGTGCATCTAGGTAAACCTCAAGTTCATCATATTCCTTCGTTGCCTTTTGAACGAAACACCTCCATGTTTGCTCCTCGGAAATGGGGAAAGGGCGTGAAGCAGCATAAACTCCATCCTTGTATTTGGGATATTTTCCCCAAATGTTTTTGATGGAATTGAGATTATCTTCACCAATAGCATCAAGGAGTTCATTGAAGACCTCCTCGAATGAGATATCAAGATCAAAAACAAAGGCCTTGTTTGAATGCAATGAGTACTCCACCTTATTGTTCTTGATCATTATCTCACCGTTCCAATGGACTAGCAAGGCAAAACTACCATCAGAGGCCATTTTTTGGTAAGAGGTTGTGAGAGAAGTGAGTAGATATGTGAGAGTAATGCTTGGTGGTGAGATTGTGAGAGTTAACCAAGAAATATATAGATAGGATATTTTTTTAGTTGGGTGGATTGAATGGTGTAGGATTGTTTGTAGTGTAATGTGAGATTTTTGTTTAGTTGGGTGGATTGTATGGTGCAGTATTGTTTGTAGTGTAATGTGAGATACGGAGTATTTTTTTGGTGGGTGGATTGAATGGCGTAAGATTGTTTGTAGTGTAATGTGAGATACTTTTTTAGTTGGGTGGATTGAATGGTGTAGGATTGTTTGTAGTGTAGTGTGAGATATTTTTTTAGTTGGGTGGATTGTATGGTGTAGAATGGTGGTGTTAGATGAGATTTTTTGTTAGGTGGATTATATGGTGTAGCATGGTTAGTAGTATTAGATGAGATATTTTTTTTTGTTAGGTGGATTGTATGGTGTAGATAGGAGAGGGCTGTGACAATATTTTTTAACAATATTTTTTTTGTAGTGGATATGCATTAACAAGTTTTTAGGTGTAGATTGGATGGATATGCATTAAGAATATTTTTTTAAGTTAACGGTACAGCCAGTACCGTTAACTTATTTTTAATTTATTTTTTTTAATATAACGGTACTGGTTGTACCGTTCATTCCTGACAGCACTGATCGGGAATGCTTTTTTCTTTTCTTCACTGAACGGGAATTAATTCCTTTATTTGCAGATCATAGAATAAAACTAAAAGAAATACCTCCGTCGCACGAGACCAAGAGACCTATAATATTATTAAAATAAAATAAATTGCATCTGAAATATTGAATGTGTCAACTACGTCCTTGCCGTGTGTCTCGAGAATGGCATGCTTCTAGCTCAAAGCCTCTTTTATTTTTCCCTCGGTTGTGTTGTAGCCTATTATTATTATTCTCCTTATAAATAAATTGTGTGCGTCAGCCTTTTGTATTAATTTTTAAGGTTGAATTTCACATGGTGTCGAAGTATAGGTCATTGGTGTTGGGACAGTCGTAGTAATTTACGCCTCATGTGAAGGGGGTGCGTTGAGTGATCAACTCTGTCCCCATCGACTGTGTAGCCTATTAGAGCACAAGAAATACTCTAACGCTTCATCGCTAGTTTAACATCGCGAGGACATTAAACAACCCGCAATAGCGTTATCCAGGAGTCATGGCATTTGCATCAAACTTTTAACGTGAGGAAGGGCAAATGAAATAGCCATTGCCACCCCCCCTCCAACTGTCCAAAACCTAGTACTTGGCCAATTTTTTTAAAAAAAAGGTTCTTGAATTTTCAACTATAAAATATCTCTAAAAAATATAAACATGCACCCAATTTTTATGTAACTTTTATTTAAGTTTTTTTAGTTGTTCAAGTTATGTACGGAGTAACTTTTATTTATGTCGTTATTGATGATTTTTTTTATTAATGTACTCCCTCCGTCCCAAAATATTCACAACATTTGCTTTTTCAGCAGTCGCGGGAACTTTTGTTTATTTTGACGTTTTCATTGGTTATTTGATAAAATAAAATATTCTTGACACCTCTTATTTCGAAGAACTTTTCATGTAGTTTTTTTATATGTAAATTTTATTTTTTATTTCTATACTAATTTGTAAATAAAATGAATTGAAAAAACTTGATATTTTGCCTCGGGAATACAAATGTGGCAAATAATTTGGGACGGAGGAAGCAAATTTTTTAAAAAAATAATGTGCTTTTTTATTTAATCAATTATTGCGGTTTAAATTTAAGTAATTACTGAAATCTTATAAATTTAATTTTATAAAATATATATTAAAATTCTAAAAAAAAAAGTTTGAAACTCGAAACTAATAACCCATTTCCAATGAAATAGTGAGCTACATTAAAACCAGTTAAATTTGATGTGATAGAAAAAAGTAGGTTTGAAGCCTCATGCTTTAAATGTATTTCCAATGCTCTTATAGCTTAAAATAGTTTAGGTGTCTCAATCTCTTGACATGAATTTTGAAAAGAAATCGCTACAAATAGAAGTAAAACATAGAAGAACTAAAATAGAATTTTCATACAGAGTATTTTCTCAAAATCGAATTCCGCGTTGTGGTAATGTGGCACTATATATGAACATTCTAGTATATTTTTTTGGCAATGTACATGGTCATGATTGTTAATCTAAATGCATCTTAACTTCTATTTCGAGAATAAAAGTATAAAATTCTTACTTTGGTATACTTTTAATATTTTATTCCTATAGTTTTTTCTCAATTTTAAAGTTTAATTGGATCGAAATTCATTGGGATTAAGCTATTAGTACACCAAAATTTCTACCTCATTTTGTACCCCATATTCATGCACTAATATTTTATGCTAGTTTGATGTTAGTGTCAGTGGCGGATCTAGGAATTGAAGTAGATGGGGGCAACATTGATGGGAGGTCCAGGGGCGATGAAATATTTGAAATGATAAATAAATATGGTTTTTCTTTCAAATATTTATTAAATGTAAAATGTTTTTAAATAGGTAAGGTGAAATTTTATTTTATAAACAATTAACTATATGCAAAAAAAACCACTTTACTAAGAAAAATTAAACAATAAAAATTTAAATTTGGCGTAATTAGATGGGTTCACTTTGATTTTTGTTGGGGGCATATATACATAAAAATTATTAAGAAAATATTTTTATGCTTATTACAAAAAATTAGTTGGGGGCATTTGCCCACTACTCCAAACAAGTGGATCCGCTACTGGTTAGTGTGATGATTTACATTGACAAAAAATGTCAGTGCAAATTTTTTGAATTGAACTATAACTTCTACTAGTATAAACTATTAAAATATCAATATATTTATTTGGGATACAATTTGGAGTACATTTTTCTTTGAAATGAATAAATAAATGAAATCTATAGGAGTCATATCATATCATATCAGTATTGACTTAAGTCTGACCTTCCATGTTTTGGGGTTCTGTGAGTTCGGTCCAATGGCTAGCAGATAGTGCGACTTTTCCCTTGAAAAGGAAAAGAAAGATTAAAGGGCACCCTACCCTACCCATCATAGACATGGCATGCTTGATATACTTCCAAAACTTCTGTCAATCTTTGGATCCTTTTTTACTTAGTTGCACCTCCACTAGTACACAAATGGAGAACTCCCTAAATATCCATTTAGGAATAAAAAACTATTAAAATATCAAAATGTAAGTCATAAGTCTTTTAAGGCCAATATAAATAAATTAAATGTTTACACTGTCACACTATTACCGCCACATTTGTTAGAGTACATCCCACATCAGAAATCCAAGAGTAAAATAATCGGTATATAAGCTCTAGAGTTGAACTAAGTAATCGATTGGATTCAATCTTTTAATGTGGTTCAACCCAAGTGTCTTATTGCCCAATCCAGTTGTCCATACCCATCCCAAATTCTATCATAGTATCAGAGCCAGTTTTAGCCCACCTCGTTTGTCAAGGTGTCCGTCTAGACGTTCATTCCTAGCGGCCCGTTAGTCTTTAGCCCAGTTGTCCGTATGGAGGTTGTACCCAACGGCCAGTGGCATGTTTAACACGATTGCTCGTCTGGAAGTCCATACCCAGCGGCTCGTGGTCCTTTAGGTGTTGGCGCTCAGAAAAAAAAGAGCCAAGGGAATGAGAGTTCATCTGCAAGTGGTCAACCGGTTAGATTCAAAATGGCCCGGTTGTCCACTTGAAGGGGAGTGTTAGAGTACATCCCACATCGGAAATCCAAGAGTAAAATAATCGGTATATAAGCTCTAGAGTTGAACTAAGTAATCGATTGGATTCAATCTTTTAATGTGGTTCAACCCAAGTGTCTTATTGCCCAATCCAGTTGTCCATACCCATCCCAAATTCTATCAACATTGTCATTAATTTTCCACCGCATGCCACTAGAGTGTTGTCGCGAATTGTCGACTATTGACTCATCACACTAATATACTCTCTCCGTCCGAAAATATTCTTCCCATTTTTCTGTTTGGTCCGTTCGAAAATAATCTTCCCATTTCCTTTTTTAGTATGCTTTTTAAGGCTAAATATCAATAATACTCTTCTATTTTATCACAAATCTACTTTTTTAATATTTTTTTAATAATAAAAGGAGATTTAAAAGTTTATAGTATGTGTATTTTTGAAAATTTTGCATTTTTTTACTATTCCTTAATAAGCGTGCCAAGTCAACACGGGAAGAACATTTCCGGACGGAGGGAGTATTACATTGTCATCATTTTTTTATCACACTATTTACACGCACTCTTACACAACAATGCTATTATATTTTAATTTTGCTTTTAAAAGAGTCTTATTTTGGTATTTTTATATATTTTTACTTCTATTCAGATAGATTTCTTATTCAAAAAAATTATGGAACATGGGAGTATACATAAGAAGAAGATGATGTTTTTAATTTCACATCTTAATAAAAAAATCATTTTGTGATTTAGTTTTAGTCTATCTCGCTTTGTACTGTGTGATATCTTAAAAAACAAAACAATATCATTATAAGAATTTTATTTTGACAATATTTTGGCGATAGGTGTTGCGCAATTGACAAAGACATGAAGTTCAAATTTGATTCTTGATAAATACACTGGGAGGTAATTATGCTAAGTATATGACCTTCATCAGTCCAGTTAGGTCTGAAGAAATTCTCAAAGATAAAGCTCATCCTTTATTTTGAAAATATTTTGAAAACAATATTTTCATTATTACGTACTTCACACCATAATCATAATCATAACCATTTTTGTAACACTACCCCTACTTTACCTCGCGTGCTCTCTCACTCACTACTCTAAACTAGTGGGGTAGATTTGTGTATCAAAGGGCCCTTATGCATGCTATAATTATTATGGAGTATTACTTTTGTTCAAAAATTTCTTTACTAGTTTGAGTTGACGCGAAAATTAAGAAAAGTTAAAAAGTGTAAAAATTTATCATCTGTTATTTATGATGTAATGAAATAAAGTAAATAATGTATATTAAAGTTAAAAAGTGAGAGTATGATAGTACATTCCTTAAAAGTTTTTTGTTAAAATAGAAAATGAAAAAAGAATTTTGGACGATCTAAAAACGAAAGTAAAAAAATTGTATTTCCGCCTCCATTAGAAATTATTCTTCTGACATTACTTTTCAGTTCTTTCGAAAATACTCTTTTCATTTCTTTTTTTACCTTAACTTTTAAAGATAAATGCCAATTAGAGCAACTACAGCGCATAGTGTATATGCTAGCTTAAATATACACTTTATGCCATTTACTATTTATATTATCCCTCTCCAATGGATTGTGTATATCCAATGGTAAAATACACTCTAGTGCAAAATACCACTCTCACCTCCTATTTCTACAAGGTCACTGACTCACTATTGCTCATCCTTTTCCTCTCTTTTTTTTAATTTCCCTATCTTCTTCTCAATTTGCTTCAAATTCGTCCTTTTGTTAATTCATTTCTTCATTTATTGTGAGTTAATTCTATTTCTTTTACATATTGTAATTTTATTCGTAATGACATTCTCCATTCTAATAATTAAACTATGAATTAAAATAAGTATTATAAATAAATAACTTAGAATAATAAAAAAAATTAAAAAGTGTATTATATAGAAGATATAATTGGAATAGTTATTAAAAATTGGATGTGTATAACACTTTTGATAGTGTAAAATTGATTTTACACTACCACTTTATGCCCTATGCACGGGAGATGCTCTAACACCCTTCACTTTAAAGCTCACTCACCCAAATTAAAGTAGGTACATTCTTGAAAGCTTGACACTTTTTTCTATCCCTAAATAAATATGCCAAGTCAACATAAGAAAATTATTTTTGAACAGAAAATATAATAGAGACATAAATCATTTTTAGACTGAAAAAGTACATAAATTCTTAAAAGACTTTAGACCAACAAAGAGTTTACGTAGTATCTTTTTCCACTTACTCAAAACATCATCAGTAGTTAAAATTATGTTGTCCCCAAAGTTCATACATCAAATTAAAGTTTTTAAACTCATAAAACTATGGCAAAAAGAAGAGGATCTTAACTAACCAACAAGATTATTAAATAAGCTTTCAAAAATTAAAATAAAATAAAAATTATATAAGACAATAATAAGCGATGAAAAACAGAAGTTCCCAAATTGGGGAAAGAGAATCCGGCTCGTACATGAAAATGAAAACAAAACCGGATTCTTCTTCCCCATACAAAACACATTTTCTTTTTTTTTCTTCCATTTTTTCTCCAAACCCTAACACAGGTCATCATGCCCCTGCGAAGGGCACTTGATCAACTCCAAAATCCTCACCACTTCAGCCATGTCAGGCCTGTTGGAGGGAACCTGAGAAGTACATATGAACCCCAACTTAACCACAGGAATGACCTCCTCCATGGGGCACACCCCCTGCCGCCGCAGCCGCTCGTCGACGCACGCCTCCACCCTCCCCTCCTCCACCGCCTCCCGCACCGCGTCGCACACCGCCACCACGTCGTCCTCCGTGTACTCCACCGGCTTCTTCCCCGTCACCGTCTCGAGAACCAACACCCCGAACCCGTACACGTCGCACTTCTCCGTTATCTTCGCGTTCTTGCACGCAAACTCCGGCGCCATGTACCCCAACGCGCTCTGCACTTTCGTGCTCAGCGCGTAGCGGTCCAGCGCCGGCAACAGCCCCGCCAGACCGTAGTCCGAGATCTTCGGCTCACCGGAGATCTCGACTATCACGTTGCTCGACTTCACGTTGTAGTGCGTGATGTTCGCAGCGTGCAAGTGGGCCAGGCCTCTCGCCGTCCCGAGGATCGCGCTGAACCTCTCGTTCCAGTCGAGACTCGGGCCGGGCGGCGGGGACTCGTGGAGGAGTTTGTAGAGATTCTCGCCGGAGACAAACTCGTAGATGAGGAGCTGGAGGTCTTGGGTCCAATAATAGCCCTCGAGCGAGACGAGGTTCGCGTGGCGAACCTCGTCCCCGCCCAGCTTCTTGACCACCCTCTCGAAGTCGTCCCGGGACTTGACGAGGCTCGAGACGGCGAGTTTCTTGATTGCGACGACCCGTCCGTCGCCGAGGACGGTGCGGTAAACCGGTCCGAACCCGCCGCGCCCGATCTCGGTCTCCTTGTTGAGCAACGGGCGATGTGCGGTCCCCACGCAGAAGTCCCGGTCGCCGGAGAACATGACGAGCTTGCCCGAGTTAGTGCTCGAGCCGTCGGCGGTGCTGGGAGAGCAAGCGGAGAAGTCGTCGTCGCCGCCGTAGAATGCGCGTGCCGAGGCAGCTGCAGGGCGGGAAGCACGCGTGTTGAGGATGCTTATAGTGATCACGCCGACAAAAATCAAGGCGGCCGCGGCAATGGCGACGAGGCAAGAGATGCTCAAGATTTGCTTCTTGCGGCGAAATGTCGGGTGGGTTGTGGCGGGAGAGCCTTCGTCACCGGGGGAGCTAGGGGGGATCGGGAAAACTATAGGTTTGGGAAGGACGGAGGGGTCACACGAGGTGTTCAGTGCGGGCCCGCAGAGTCCGGGATTGCCGGAAACGGAAGAATAGGGGATTGCATTGAAGAAGCCACTTGTGGGTAGTTCACCTTTTAACTGGTTGTGGGAAACATTGAAGGATGACAGGTGAAGAAGATGAGCTAGCTGCTTTGGAAGGCTCCCAGTTAGTTTGTTGTAGGACAAGTCCAAGTTTTGTAGGGAACCAATTCTGGCTAAGTCTGCTGGGACAGGGCCTGTAAGGTCATTTTGTGAAAGAAACCTGCAAAAAATGTATAGATATTCCAAATAAGGGTTCATAGAATGTGCATACAAATCAAGAAAACCATTATATCAAAGACTAGTGCTTTGGCATTTGGAAATGATCAAGAAAACCAATTGGTTTTGGAAGGGCTATTACAACTAATCCAAGACAAAAGTACTGTGAATTACTTCTCCCATTGTCAACTGGTTTTGGAATGAAATCTCATAATTGTACAGAAACTCAAGAAAGATGGAAATTAAACTGCATAATATATATATGAAGAACTTACAGTGTCACTAACGAAGAACAGTTCCCGATAGAAGGGGGGATTTCTCCAGCCAGTGAGTTCATCTGAAGCCTCAAGTCCCTAACAGAAGTGGCTTCCCCAATCTCTACAGGAATGCCACCACTCAATTCATTCTTACTCAAATCAAGAATGCCCAAAGACTTCAGCTTTCCAATGCTCTTAGGAATGCTGCCATTGAGTGAGTTTCCAGAAAGATTCAAGAACTCCAACCCACTGAAGTCTCCAAGAACAGATGGAATCTCCCCTGTCAAATCGTTGCCAGACATGTCGAGGGACACAATCTTTCTGCGCGAGTTCTCAGTGGACGAGCCGAGAATGTCGCCAAGACTGCCATTAAACTTGTTCTGTGAGAGAATGAGCTTCTGCAGTCCCAAGGTGTATAGCCATGGAGGAATTTCATCTGTCAACAAGTTATGGCTGACATCTAAAGCCAGAAGGTTTACACAGTTTGTCATGGGTGTGGGGAAGTTTCCAGAAATTGAATTCTGAGACAGGTTGAGTGTGTTCAAAGATTGAAGCTTTTCAATGGAAGTTGGGATTTGACCAGAGAAGTTATTTTCTGAGAGGTCTAATATCTGAAGGCTTTTCATTTTTCCAATCCATTCTGGAAGATCACCAGAGAGTTTGTTCTGGTTCACGATGAACCGGTTACACATTCTTAGCTTCTGAAGTGAGGTGGGAAGGGTTCCAGAAAGGGAATTTTGGCTGAAATCAATTGACCTCAGCAACAAACAGTCTCCAAGTTCATAAGGCACATTACCCGAAATTCGATTTTTCTGCAAATATACTTCCCTCAAATTCTTGAGACCTCCAACGCCCTTTGGAATCTCACCCTCAAGAAGATTATCTGACAGATCAAGAGACCTCAGGGAAGGCAAAGACCAAATCCCAGAAGGTAAGCTTCCAGAAAACCGATTCGAAGACAGGTTTAAAGAAACCAAAGCCACACAAGTGCTCAAACTCTCTGGGATTTGGCCCGAAAACCTGTTTCGTGCCAAGGAGACTGATTTTAACAGCATGCATTGTTGAATGAACTCATTTGGGATGACCCCAGAAAGACTGTTCATGCTTAAATCCAAAACCCTAAGTTTGGAAATCTGGGTGAGGCTATAACTCAACCCTCCGGTAAGATTGTTCTTCGAAAGCGAAAGCTTCTGGAGGAACTGCAATTGAAGAAGGCCTCTGTAGCCTATCTTCCCAGAAAGCCCAAAACCCTCAAGATTAAGCTCAGACACCCTATTGGATCTTGGGTTGCATCTCACCCCAGCCCAGTAGCAAGGACTGTAGTCTTCCTCATTCCAAGAACTCAGCTTCCCATCTGGATCAAGAATGTCGGATTTGAAGGCGCTTAACCCGAGAACATCGTCATTCAGTGAAGGGTCCAAAGCCCTAACCAAAATGGGAGTTAAAAAACTCAACAAGAAAATGCAAAACACCCTTCTCATTTTTCAGCACTCCTGGCAAGATACACACAACAAGTCAACAACATAAATCTGGATAGCACACACAAAAATCATGAAACCAAACGCAAAAAATTAAAGATTTCTCAGGTAAAAGTAATGACAGGCCGGCTTGGCATTTTAACATCAAGAAAACTGGAAATTACAAAACAGAGAACACTAAATACATAAAAAGCTTATAATTTCATTACATAGGCTCATAAATATGAATAACACACAAGAAACAACATACGAAAACAAAAGGAGAAAGACTCACAAGATTCAATTTTTCAGAGACGAAAGGTCTGTTCTGAGCTCCCCCACATAATAAGATTCCAGAAAAGGAAAAATCCTATCTTTGTCTTCAAGAGCTACAAATCAGGACAAACCCAGAGCAAGGAAGAAGAGAAGAAACGCAGAAACGCCGGCGCATTGGCCGGAGATGGGAGAATCTGGGCAAGAAATAAAACTCTTCCAAATCTGCAACGGGAAAGGGTAAAGTGTTGGGGAGGTGAAAACGGGAAAGATGAGGAAAAGCCGGAAAGGTCGCCGGCGGCCGGGGAGAAGGTGTGAGTCGGTGAAGCAATTGAAAAGCTCTCGTCTTTTCTGTTGTCGCCTTGTCGGGGAGTGGTGGTGGACGGGGAGGGGTATTTATTTTAACGAGGGAAAATGGAAGACGCGAAAGAATGACTTTAATTTCATGGACACGCGTCAGAACCGGATAGGCTATTTGTTGACCATATACGAAGTACTCCGTATAAGATAGAATTAAAATACTCCGTACGTACGTACTTTACCAGGCTTAAAGAGCTTGGTTGGTTGGTCTTGGACAAATTTTATTTTTCTTCTTACACAAGATTGATCAATAAAAAAAAAGCAAGGGAAAAACAATGCTCCCTAACTTGGACTTAGAAAAATAGTAAATGAGAAGATCAGAGGTAGGTTGATATAATAATAACTTAGAAACAAAGATAAAAAAAAATTTATAAAAGATATTTTGTTAATACTAAAAATAATAACTTTTTTGATGTTAAATCTTACAGGTAGGTTGATATAAGAAAATAATTTTTAAATCTTAGATAGTGTTGCTTATGGAAGCAAAATTTCTCACAAAATTTATTTGCTTAAGTAGTTAAGTTAAACAACACCTATGTTTCCTCTACTTTTAAAAATATAAAATGTGACTATGTAAAGCTCTTCCAACTACTCCATCCGTCTCAATTTAATCCTTCTTATTTTTTCTTTGGTTGTCAACTTAACTTTTAACTTTCTTTTTTTTCAAAATACTTTTGAGACTCACTTTTTCTTTTTTTTACGTGTCAGTTGAAACCATGCAATTCCTACATTTTTTAAACATAGTAAAAAATCAAATTAGAAAGATTAATTTGGGACAGATAGAGTAATAGAGGGAGTCTAACATTAATTACTGCAGTGCCTCATTATTACTGAGAGAAGAAAGGTTGTTGAAGCATTGATGGGGAGGTGGTTCAATGCTCCATAAAGTGTCAACTATAATTTCTTTTTGAAACGAGTAGATTGGCAGAGAGAGTGTAATGGACTCAAGCATGTTCTTTAATTTTTAAATATAGGGACTCACACTTCTTTTTTTAATATACACGGACTTGTAGAATAGCATTTTGACTCATCAAATTCTCTCAATGTGTAAGCCTAAATATAGTCATGTGTGATCTTGTTTGATTTGTCTTAACATATAGATTATTAATATATAATTTCTATAATTTTTTAATATACAAATTACAAGATAAAATGGATTAAAGAACTGTATTGGATGGTGTGTAAAAATGAAAGTGGACAAATACTCTAGGACGGAGGTAGTATTTTTTAAAATTATGATGTTTTTTAACCGTAAATTATAGAAAAATATATTTAATTGTAATGTAAAATTAGTAAAACTAGATATAATTTAGATTATATCTAACTCGTGATCAAACGGTGTCTCAATTTGATAAAAAAAGTTATACCGGAGTATATATATTAAGGAGTAGTAATTACTTTTACTTTTTGATTGTCTTTTTTCCTTGAGGTCCCGCTAGAGTTTGATATAATGATATGTCTATCCCATGCTTTTAATAGTTCCAAGTGGGACTTTGTATTTTTTGTCCACATTAATTATTTTTGAATCAAATTGATAAATTTTAAGTTTCAGTTACTCACGATTTATTTTGTCGATGTAGATAATGTTTTTTTCAACTTATTTTTTTACTTATTATTTATTCTTATTAGAATCAAATTAGATTAAACCAGGATAAATTAGATGTGAAATAATTTTAAATATAACTATATTCAGATCAGATCGGAATTTATTCCAATTAGATCACATGAAGAGAGCATTGCCTTAGTTTAGTATGGGTATTGAGGTGGTCCGGTGTATTGGCAGACGTAAGCTTGGCCAGCTATGGAGCATTATGTGGTGGTACAGTGGCAGATCCAGAAAAATTTATTGGAGGCAAGATTACTATGAAATTCGAGGACAACCTCTGAATTTTTTCTTTTCAAAAAAGCAATATGAAAATATAAAAAAGATTCAACTCAAAGAATTAAGGAAACACTCAAATCATTAATAAAAATCTCGTAAACACCCAATATAATTTTACTTTCTCGTAATAATTTTTATTTTCAATTCACATTCATGTTATTTTAAATATTTTACATTTAATTTCTTTTTAATTAATGATAAATATTTAATTTTCAACTTAATCTTTCTTTTCATTGGAGATTTTTATTTTTTTGATGGGGCATACTTAAAAATGTTCAACTATTTTAAAATTAGTTGGGGGCAAGTGCCCCATTGATATAATGTGGATCCGTCCTGTGGTGGTCAACGCCAGGGCTTTATTTAATCTCAAAATTATGATAACCAGTGATTTTGAGATTAATCTTACTATAGATTTCTATCTATCACGGACCGTCACCAATATTGCTTCCCCCCATAATTTGTTTGCCATATAATTTGGGAATTGGAAAATTAACAAAAAAGAAGATTGAGAAGAAAATTTGACGGGGGAGTAATTGATTGTATTTGATTCAACTTCTTCTCAACATATCGTTACATATAATTAGGGTTCTAGAATCTGGGGATTCATTGCTTACGGAAGGACTGTACTATTCTGGAGAGAGCGAATTGGGAATGGGCAGTTCAAATGAATTTCTGGAAGAGCTGCTGAATGTAGAAGCCGAGCTTCAAGATGTCCAAGGTTCTCTCTCATCCCTCATTATGAATTATCTCCCTTTTTCTTTTCTTTTCTTTTCTTTTTCTTTTTTCGTTTTTGGATTCTGTATTTCGTTGCGTTCTCATGGAAATTACTAGTAGTTAATTGCCTTTATTGGAGCTAAACATCTACTATAAGCAGAGGAAAAAGATAGAGAGCTATGTAGGGAGTAGGGAGTATTATACGCACAATGCAGTTCCACTTTCATTCACTTGAGGTTTAAGTGGGGTGCTTTGGGTTTAGAATGTCAAAAAAATGGTTGATCGTAAGCAAGAAAGTTGAAAATTTTGACTTTGGATATGGGGTTTCTTGTATATTTTGCTTATTTATGGGAAACTATCTGAAGTGGTGTACTGCTTCTCATCAGAGCTACTGAATGTCATGGTTCGGGGTGTGAGGAGGGAGCTAGAAAGTTGACATTTTTGACGTTTGTGGCGTGGAATTTGTGTTTTTGTGATGTTTGTTTTAATTGGTCCAGTAATGCTAGTAGTGTAGTCTGAAAATGTTTATGAGCATCTACAAATCCAATGATTATGGATTACAACAACAACAACATTACCGTCGGGTGTATGCAGCCTGACCCCTATATTAAAAACATAAAGCGGCTCTTTCTAGATGACTCATGATGAGCGTCGAAAGTCGCATTGACTAAGTGCTACTTCAATATTGGAAGAAGCACAAACAGTTTAAAGAGCCATTTTGCTTTATCTCATCGTAGCCAAAGCAAAAAAAAGTGAATCTTTGGCTCCATGAAAGATGATAATGGATTATAAGGGCATTAAGGGGTTATGTTGTGTTCACTTTTCGAAGAACTGTAAGCTTAAACTTTGGGCAGATTTTCCAGAACTTGAATTAGAGTGGAATACGGAAAACTATCTGACTAAAGTGTGCCTACTTCTCAGTGGATTGTTAAGCAATCAACTGTTTCTAATATGGTGTCATATTGGGAACATCCTATGTACAAATTCAGGAGTAAGTTTATTATATCTGAACCATCCTCATTCCTCTCCTTGTGTGGGCAGTTTTGGGGTATGGATTTTGATATAGAATTGTTATAAATTTATAATGAGGGGCTATGCTTGTGATGAGAGAAGCTTATTAGTTAATGTCTCAATTAAGAATTAGAGGTTGAATATGTGATATTTATTTGCTAAGAACCAAGTGATTAATTAACGGTGGTAGTATTGCATGACGACTGATTGACTGTCACAATTTATTAGAAATTCACGCATTCAAAATGTGGAAATGTAGATATAGTAGTGATGCCCTTCATGTAGGCTGAACACTGAAGTGATCTAGAATGTGAGGGTAGTGAGGCGTGAGTACAAACAAGCTGCTTAGTATTGAGTTCATAATGAAAATTTCTGTTTATTTTCGTCCAACCTGCAGATCAGATAAAAATTCTTCTTGATCAGCAAGAGAAGTTGTATGCGAGAAAATCTGAGTTAAAGGCCCTTCTTGAAGACTTTGAAGCTTCAGAAAACCATTATGATGATGATGGTGTGTCAGCAGCTACAGAGAACTGGTTAGGGTCATTTGAATGGGATTCTAGAGCTGATGATCTTCGGCTCAATATTTTTGGCATATCTTCATACCGTGCAAATCAACGAGAGGTCAGTAACATCATAACTTTTCTTTATATGCTAATTCTTGTGATTCTAAATGTGTCATTTATTCATGTGATGCTTGGATCTTTTTATCTGCGCATTCATTCAAGCGTATCCTTGGCAGTAGGCAAAGAATTAACCTTGGGGTTCCACAAGTTTGACCCCATTTTTGATACTAATGCCTTTACAGACATCACAGATGTTCCATGTTTGTGATGTGTGTAAAGGCATGATGTCAAAAATGGGGTCAAACATGGGATACCCCAATCATGACTCCTAGGCAAATCCACAGGCCGACATGCATGCTAAAATCTAGTGGTTGACAGTTTCTAGCACAATGAAACAAACCAAAAAGTTTACACGGAATTTCTTTTTAAATATTACTTTATGTAGTTTTGTTACCTCTTATGTATGGCAAGGATGATCCAAACCACTTGAGCAATCTTAGTTTCTGCCTCCCACCATTTTGTTTTGCAAGTCGATCATTGGTGTGCTTGAGCCTTGAGAAATTAAAAGCTATCGGTTATCTTGAAGTGCTAAACATATTGACCGGCATGAACAGCTTGGTCATTGACACTGCAGCAAGCCATCTCATTGTACTGTCAACTTGTTAGACTTTAGAGAGGCTGCCGTGGATATTACATGTGCAAAAAATTAGGTTTCCAGAATCTCTAGTGTTTGAATAGTAAATTGATTGGGTGAAAATGGTGATAATCAGGTATTACCATCCAAAGCTGTTTGCCCTTACATAAGGTGCATGGAAACTGGAAACTAATTCTTATCTCATGGATAACTAACATATGACCTAGAGAAAGGAAAAGGGAACATATGACTTTAAATGAATAAGGTTTTTTTTGTGTCCTGAAGCATCTTTTATTCTTGTATTACTATAGTTGCAAATTACCCTGCTTATGTGCTTTGTTCAGTTTGGTGGTGGCATCCTTAATCTTTTGTGATCAATGTGTGGGCCTTTAATCATTGTTCCATTCATATTGGACTGATTGTCTCATGGTGTCTGTCAGAGTATATAACAATCATTCCTGGGCCACAACCACAAGGCACAAGCTTGAGCTTTTGGTTGAATTGGTTCCTTGACATGGTATCAGAGCCTTGATGACCAAGAGGTCACGAGTTCGAAACTCACCGCCACCCAGATTAAAAAAATTAAGGTTTCACGTGCAAGGCTCAAAGAGGTCAGGTGTGCACGTGAGGGGGCATGTCAGAGTATATAACAATCATTCCTGGGCCACAACCACAAGCTTGAGCTTTTGGTTGAATTGGTTCCTTGACAGTGTCATTTGACAAACCTTAGTATTGCCTGTTTCAATGATGGAATTGCAGATGATTATGATATATCATAAAGTTTTTGTTTCATTTTGAAAGTTTTCAGGTTACTTGCATGATTTAACTCTGGATTTCTGATTTTGCCAGATAATAAATGCAGTCATGAGTGGAAGAGATGTTTTAGTCATTATGGCTGCAGGTGGTGGCAAAAGTCTTTGCTACCAACTTCCTGCTGTTCTTCGTGATGGAGTTACCCTTGTGGTCAGTCCATTGCTATCTCTAATCCAAGATCAGGTGCTTGTGATGTCACAATGTAGATGATGCATCTTAATGGAACCAAGTGAAATCTTAAATCTTGATACCTAATCTATAATGTCATATTCAGGTGATGGGTCTAACTGCTATAGGAATTCCAGCATATATGCTGATGTCAACTACCAGCAAGGATGATGAGAAGTTCATTTACAAAGCTCTAGAAAAGAATGAAGGAAACCTCAAAATATTGTATGTCACACCTGAGAAAATATCGAAGAGTAAAAGGTTTATGTCAAAGCTTGAAAAGTGCCACCATGCTGGCCGCCTCTCGTTGATAGCAGTTGATGTGAGTGTTATGGTTGCTCAACTGTTGAGATCATATTCTTGTATGGAGACAACACACTGGTTGGAAAACCATGCATTGCAAACATTTGTTTGGTTTTGTAATAGGTTTTTTTTTCTAAACAAAAAACAAGTAAGCCAGTTTTGTCACTACTTCATGGAAATGGACAAATGGTCAATCCACAAAGGTGAAGTTAAGAATGTGCTCATTTGAGTGCACACCCATTTGAAGATGCTGCTCTGTTTGCTTTTCCGGATGCATTTTCAGCCATCTTTTTGGGAATGCTAACCGTTATCTCCCATGAGCATACCAGCTATTGGACTCAAATGAGACCTTTAAGAATATCTGTGATACAAGGATGTTTTAGTATTCTGACTTAAAAAAGTTACTATGTAAACCATTTTTCCACAATGAAGCGTCCTGAAAACCCCTACAATTCATATGTACTCAGTTTTTCTCATTTTTCCTTGTTTTAATTTTTTTAAAATATCAAATCTAAGTGTGACACTAAGAAGTTGTGATTTTGCAGGAGGCACATTGCTGTAGTCAGTGGGGGCATGATTTCCGTCCTGACTACAAGAACCTTGGTATTTTGAAGACTCAGTTCCCCAATGTTCCCGTTATTGCTTTGACGGTGCTCCCTGGTCCCTATTCTATAGTTTTGCTTAATTGATAAGCTTTGAGCGAAGAACTAAGCATTTTATGGAGGATTCATTAATGCCTGCTGTGTTGAGACCTTATCTCATACTTCCTCCTTTGTTACTTCCAGGCAACTGCTACCAGAAAAGTTCAACTTGATTTGATGGAGATGTTGCATATTCCAAAATGTGTGAAGTTTGTCAGCACTGTAAACAGGCCAAATTTATTTTATATGGTCAGCAAACATGCAGTTGCTCTATTTATCCATTTATCCATTTTAGGTTCCTGACTCCAGATAGCTGTTTTTTATATTACATTTTAAACAGGTAAGGGAGAAGTCATCGATTGGAAAGACTGCGATCGATGAAATTGCTGAGTTTGTAAAAGGATCTTATCCAAACAATGAATCTGGAATAGTTTATTGCTTCTCCAGAAAAGAATGTGAGCAGGTCAGTTTGGCAGTTCACTGAATCATCATTTGCCATTTCTTTCTGAATTGGTTTCTTTGTCTGTTTGGCTATATATACTCATGTATGTTACTGGAATTCTATTCTATCAAATGTAAAACTCAAGCCTTAAACATTTCCAGACACAGTCAGTATATTAAGCCTTGGTCTCTCTCTCTCTCTCTCTCTCTCTCTCTGTTAATGTGCCTTGATTATTAGGTGTTTCTGAATCATTTATGATTAATTGCTATGGTAGCTGCCTGTTTTCTTGGGTAATTGTGCATGTGTGGGGGAGTTGTAGAGATGTAGAGGACTTGTTGTCCCTCTTGCAAAGCTTGCTTCAGCTCTAGGAAACTGCCCTCTGCATGAACATGTGAAATGAAGGGGACTTCAGATTATACCTTGTTATTCATTTAAATTTCCCCAAAAAGCTAGAGAACTATAATTTGCAGCCTCCAGAAATTGGTGTGTACTGATAAATTTGTGGTTTTATTTCTACAAATTATAGATTGCAAAGGAATTACATGAGAGAGGAATTAAAGCTGATTATTACCATGCTGATATGGATGTAAGGGATCGTGAAAATGTTCACATGCGGTAAAGTTTGAATCTATGTGCATTATCATATCTTCATTATCCTTGCATTAGTCATGCAAACTAGGGTAATTTATGATGTTACTGAGGTTTCTGCCTGTTGAGTGTTTCACTCTGTCTTAGTTTTGTTGAACATCTACAATGGTGCAAAAACTAAACGATGTTATCAGTTTGTGTTTGGTCAACGCCATATGATGTTATCTATCAATTATGCGTCTGCTGAATGTAAGATAGCCTCTACCTAAACAGAGAAGTATTATGAACACAAACCCTTATTATTATTACTAGTATTGTTATTGTTATTATTATTATTATTAATTATTATTGTTATCATTATTCTCATCATCATCATTATCACCATCATCATCATCGTCATTATTTCAACTCTGTGGACATGCCACTACCACTAGTATTAATACTACAGTAGCGTTGGCAGAAAGGCACTTAAAATTGAACTGCTGCATAAATTTTGGATGGAAGCTCAATTTGTAGTCATTTCACTTGTTTTTTTAGTATTCACGTTGTAAAAATATTCACAAGGATTGCACAACAAATGTAACCAAAATGATTATTCAGAACATGCTAGATTGCTACTTCTCTAATGTGCTTCCATAATGATGTAGATGGAGCAATGGCAAATTACAGGTTATTGTTGGCACTGTAAGATGCTTACCATAGCTACTCTGAACACACATATATGTCTGCTGAATAATGCCTTATTCTGTTGTGATTGTGTTCTTTCAGGTGGCATTTGGCATGGGAATTAACAAGCCAGATGGTCAGTATGCGGTGATGTTAACATGTGCTTCCTGCTGAATTATGCTTAGAAGTTTTATGATGGGAATTCATTGATGAAATGTGCAGTGACATGGATTCTTCCATTCTTATTGATTGTTCTTTGAATTGTTGCCTATATAGTAATCTATAAGCTAGATTCCATGTGTACCACCTCACTTCTAATCAATTCACTGCCCTCATTTATGTTTAAGTACATGCCTGTCCATTCATTTCCTTGTCTATTAGTTTCAATATTTCATCAACATAACCTCTTAAAAGTTAAAAGACAGGCATACACATGATCACTGAGCTTATTGGACAGTCAGTTGAATGACCTTTTTTTTATAAAGAAAATCTACTCAACTTCTTTACATCATTGCTTTCAGGCCCCTTGGCTTCACTGCTGAATTTTTTACCCTTTTCACCTTAGTTTGTCTGTAAAAATTTCTTATTTGTATCTCTGCATGGAAAATAAGTTTCTTTTCTCTTAGTTGGAATAAGGCCAACTTGCAAGACTACTAGCCTTATATGAAAATCTAGACGGCCCATGTCATTGTTTGTGTATTGGTGCACTTTGGGAGCTCAGTTCTTATTCAAGAAGTCTGTCCATGTTCTCTAGGGTTTGCGTTTCTTGAACATCTTAATTCTTAAAAACTAGCCATCTCTGGTTTGGGCGGAACAAGTAATGTACTAGTTAAGATTGATGGGCTAATGTGCAAGCTTGTTTTTTCATTCCCCCCATCTCTCTCTCTCTCTCTCTCTCTCTCTCTCTGCTTCGCTTGCTGATATGAGCGTATGAGAAAATTATCCATTACTTTCCCAAATAAATCCAAAATTTTCATTTTTCAAAACCTTGGTGTTTGCTGTCGTTTTATTCATTCCTTTTCTATATGTCCAATTGTCCATTTCATAATCAACTTTATTGTTTTTGCGTGTGAGTTATTATGTTAGTATCCATCTGAGTTAGCTCAGCTTCTTGTGGCCCTTATTTTGGGGGTTGTCATACTAGGCAGCTGTTATCCTACTTAATTTGGCTTGCATATGGTCCCTCTTGTGTGTTGACTTTTGGGTGGGATCTCTAAGAGTAATTTGTGTGTATACTCCAAAATTATTGTTTTGTTTGTATCACTATGTGGTTAACTGTCTCATTCTCAAGTTTTCTGTCACTTGGAGATCCATTCTAAATATGGCATTTAACCCATATCTAACATACTAGGGCATGTGTGTGTGTGTGTGTGTGTGTGTGTGTGTAATCTTTTGCCATGTACACTTTTCAATTATTCTGGCATCAATGCTTATGATACTTTTATATTGCAATTGCTTGTAGTCAGGTTTGTCATTCATCACAGTCTGAGCAAATCTATGGAGACATATTATCAGGTTGCTTTTTTTTAAATATTTGCAGATATTTTTTTACAAATAATTTTGTGTTGTGTTGTGTTGTGTTGTGTTGAGTACAATCTTTAATCCTTAGGAAAGTGGTCGTGCTGGACGTGATGGGCTTCCTGCAGAATGCCTACTTTATTATAGACCTGCTGATGTACCGAGGCAGGTTAATTTCTCTAGACATGCAATTTATGAGCTTGACATCTGCTCTATGATTGTGACTTCTGACCTAGGTGATTGATGCATTATTTTCTGCATTCCTCTACTTTCCCAGAGTTCAATGGTCTTCTATGAGAATGCTGGTTTGCAGAATCTATACGACATAGTACGATATTGCCAGGTATTTTTCTATTGGATTGTGAACATGTTTTTTCATATAGAATAGGGAACACTACTACACGTACAAGAACATGATGCCTGTTCACCAATATCACCAGGAGACAAGTGATATGAGAGCTCGTTAGTACAAGACAACACGCAACATACCATCGAGACTTGTCTTAAATATCGTGGGTGTTCCTCTGTCATGCAGAAGACCATGCTTCATTCAAATCCTGGTGATGCTTGGCATGTGGCACTTGTGTGGAATCTTAACTAAGCCCTTAGCTTGGGCTTATCCAAACCCACTCCCCCGCGCTTGGGGATATGTCCAGTTGGACCAATAGGAGGCCTAGTAGGTTGCATCCTCAGGATTCCTTACCCGAAATAACATGCACAGTAGTTTACAGTCTGTTATGCACTATAAGAATACCCGTGGCATGAAACTCCAAAGATGATTGATGATATGAACACATATCTCGCAATTCGCTATAGTATATTGAAACCGAGTTTCATTCTCTAGGGGATTCTGATTGAAGCATGAATATAAAATGAGTAATTGAAATTTTGAATCGGAAATAAAGACTAGTGCCAAAGCTTGAAGAACAGTGTTGAATAGAATATTTGATTCCTTCACTGGTGAGGGAGGAGTATTTATAGTACAATAGGCACAACGGTTACAATCAACTATTCTAGGAGCTGATTGTGGATCACGACGACCTCATTTTTCCAGCACCCCCATCCCTTGACCTAATCTGAATGCGTGGATCTCTCTGTTTCAAATAATTTGGGCGAAAATACTTGGGAGACCCCAAGGTGTGCACACCAAGTGCACACCAAGGCAAACACTGACACACTGACACTCAATGTACGCACAGTCATTGAGTGTCTGTGTGGGTGTGTGTTTGCTTTGGTGTGCACACCTTGGGGTCCCCCAAGCACCACCCTAATTTGGGTAGGATGGTTGGGCCATGTATCTAATAGTTGGGGTTGGGTATATTTGGCCTATTTATAAATATGCGTTTGGACTGGTTGCAATATACCCTTCACAAGCACCCTAGTTGCTTGTGTGACCTTAATTGAAAGAGACAATACAAGAAATTGCAAATAGTCAACCGTTAGAATTCAAACGAGCGGTTATACTCGTGTTGTAAGCTTGGGGCACTTGCTCTTTTCTCATGCTATGTCACTATCGTCACTCGTGTCCCCAACACCATCATTGCACTTCTTGGACCCTTTGCTATCAGCTATCTTGAACAAAAAAGAACCTTCTTTTCAGCTTTGCTTCCTGAAGTGCAAGTCACCTAAATTTCCTCATACAAGTACCATGTGCTACGATGACAACAGAATATCCGACAACAATGTCACCCCAAGACTTTTAATTTTTTTAGATTGGTGGCCCTTTTGGAATGAAGATTGAACATGTACCTTGGCGTACTCGAGCGGAATTTCATTGCGAAGTCTTTTAAGCGCTTTTGATCACAAATAAGGGTTCACCACCTTTGAAATGATGCACAATAAGTTAAACAAGCTTCTTCTTTTCTTTGGGTCTAGGTATATTGCTCTCCACTCATGTATATATAGTCTCCTCTATTTATGTATTCAACAATAAATACAAGATATAATTAGATAATTTAAAAACTTATTTATCAACATATGTCATTTAGCATAACCAAACTTGCCAACTAACATCTTTCTCACTATCATAATCATACAATGGATAAATTTTTTGTGATGTGATTTTTGTGTTGCATATATTTCATCAAAAGTGGAGCTCAAAGGGGCTCGATCTCTATCAAAGCCTTTTATGTCGTGATTTTCGTCGTGGACCCGATGTACTAGTTAAATTGACAATGCAAGAAAGTCATATCACTCTAAATGCAGCCTTTTGATTTTCATTTGAAAAGCAATAACTCATCATCTTTTATTCATGCAAAAACCAAACACAACACACCTAACTAACACATACACAATTACTCCCTTCGTCCCAACTTAATCTTCGGAGTTACTATTACAGTCTTCCGATAACTTATGTTTGTATGCATGTTTTCATTTATCATTTGATATAGTAAAATATTCTTGTCATCTTTGTTTAGTAGATTTTTTTTGTAGTTTAAAATGGTGTAATTTGTAACTTTTATTTTTTACCAATTTGTAAATAAAATCCTTTTAAAAGAGATGAGTTTTTGGCTTTTGCACGTTCTTCATTGGGACGGAGGGAGTAAAATGTAAGTAAAGTAAAAAAAGTTAAAACAATATATTATTTTGATTTAGTCACAATAGAACGTAAATACGTAATCATGAAATAACTTTTAGAATCTTACCCAACAGTTTCTCATTTTGTTGCATGTACGACATCATGTTGTGCACAAGTATCCGCAAGAAAAGAATCAATATCATGATCACAAATGGATTAGTCTCCATTGTATATTAAGAAATCTCTTAAAGTAATGGAAGTTATGAACAAAAGACTCTTAGTATGGGATGTGTTCATGACTTTCATTAGTTTAAGAGATTTCCGAATATACATTAAAGACCACTTTTTTATTAATTATGATAATGATTTTTTTTCCTTTGGATGCTTGTACACGACATGCTATCATACATCTATAGAATATCATTTGCTCTGGTGTGTAATAAAAGACATCACAGTAAGCTACTACCTTAAGAGGTTGTTGGGTAAGATTCTAATAAATATTTCATGGTTACATTCTGTTGTGTCTAAATCATGATAGAGGATTTAGAGGAGGGTTAATCTTACACCAACTCAATTGGTGTAACATTGTTACACCAATTCAATTAAAGCACCTACGGTGCTTCAATCGTAAAATTGATTATTCCTATTCCCCCTAACCCTCGGTAAACCCCCTAGCCCTCCCCGTCCCCAATGTGCGCCCGCAACCCCGCCAATTTTATTACATCAAATTTGGGTTTAAAATTTGACCCGGAAGTCAACAAAATTTGGTGCAGGGTTGAGGACGAGGCAGGCTAGGAGGGTTTACCGGGGGGGGGGGGAAGGGGTATGAACAATCAATTTTACGATCGGAGAATCGTAGGTACTCCAATTGAATTGGTGTAACAATCTTACACCAATAAAATGGTGTAAGATTACCCCTCTTCATGATATTGTTTTTTTACTGTATTAACATTTTATTTGTGTATTTTTAGTTAGATATGTTGTGTTTAGTGTTTGGATGAAAAATATGAAATCAAAAGACGAGATTCAGAGTATGTGGGTTTTTTGCGCTGTCAATTCAACAAGTAATATATTGTGTCCATGATGACAACAAAGATTTTGATAGAATCCCCCTTTGAATTCCATTTGCGATATATTCTATGCAACACATACGGGGTTTACAAAGGTGTCACATTATATAGATTTTATCCTTTCTGGGGTTATGGTGGTAAGGTGTTGGTTGAAAACTATGACTCTGTTGAATATTATATTTTGATTGTATTTATTATCGAATATAGAATCAAAAGAGGTGATATATACATGAATGGAGAGAAATATACTCAGACCTAAAGAAAAGAAAAAGCTTATTTAACTTGATTGTGCATCATCTCAAGGGTGGTGGCCTCTAGTTTGTGATTTAAAGTGCTCAAAAGACTGCAATGAAATTCCATTCAAGTATGAGTCACTTGCTCAATCCTAAGTCTTAGGTGACGATGTTGCCGGATATTCCGTTGTCATCATAAGGGATGGTACTTGTAGAAGGAGAAAGAAATTTAGGGGGTTTGCACTCCAAGAAGTAAAACATGAAAGAAGGTCATTTCTTGTTCAGGACAACCAAAGGCAAAGGGTCCAAGAAGTAGAATGATGGTGTTGGAAATAGAGGTGATGATTGCGTCCTGACATGGGAAAGCTCAAGGCACAGTTACAACACACACGTAATAGCTCTTTGATTTTGAATTCAAATTGTTCCTACCTTTGTAATTTCTTGCATTGCCTCCTTTAATTAAGGCCACACGGATGAAAGGATAATATGGACAGTAGTTCCCATGGAAAGTTGCGGTATTGCCTTTGATATTCCACTCAAAAGAATAAGATGTCAAATTCCCAGAAATAAAGTCCATATAATCGAGAAAGTTCTCGTATCCGTGCATGTGGACTAGGCAGTCACACTGCAATGAAATTGTGGTGCACGACCATCTCTCCATCAAACTTTGAGCAAACTTTTGATAGTAGCTGCTAGCTAATATTTACCAAGACTGTGGATGTTTGATGTTGCTGACCATTCCTTTGCAGTGTCTTAATGTTAAAAAGAGCATTTATATTTTTTCAGTCTAGAAGCGAATGTCGTCGAGCCGCATTTTTCAGACATTTTGCTGAGCCACTCCAAGATTGCAATGGTACAGTCTTTGCTATTGCAGCAAATGCTGTCTTTGAAGCTCCTTGTATTAGTTGTGTTAGTGTATAGTCTGATTACCTTTATCCATTTTATGATTGTGCTACAGGGATGTGTGACAACTGTGTTTCTTCAACAAAAGTCAAGGACATTGATGCCTCTTGTATGTTATACTGATCTAACTCGCATTGGATTTGAAATACATATTTTTCGCCCTCATCTATTATCTTCTATGATGTGCAATGACTTTTTTATTGATGCATGATAATCTGAAAAGTTATGGAGCTAAAAAGGTCATCTTTGACAATGTTTTAGCTTCAAGAAAATAATGAACTAATTTGAAATGACACATTAAATATCCATTGCTTCTTACTTTCTATGAAGTTTTGGGAATTAAATGTAGCAATGCATCAAGGGTCTCACAAAAAAACTGTTTACAGGAGTGGGATCATACTGGGTTTCCTGCTGCTGTATTTTTTCTGAAATGTCAGTACCCACGCTCATATGCACACTAATTAAATTGTGTCACATTTGTCCAAAATTTGGAATTGTACACTAACTTAAGTGATCACCATAAATTGAAAAAATAATTTGAGGGTATACACCTACAATTTCTAACACATTGTAGTTCGACCCTGTCCAGTTTCTAACTTATTGTAAAACAACCTAACGAGACTCTATGCTATGATATTTTGCTTGTTTACAAACTGTTATGCAATGCTCTTAGCCGCTGACATGCTTTGGTTTTTTAATTTTTTGCAGGCCATACAAAAGCCATTATCTCTTTGATTCAAGATATACATGCAACTGACCAGAAGGTGACAATGTTGCAATTGGTTGACAAGATGAAAGCTAAACTTAAACAGCTAGGTATTTCTTTATTTACACGCATTTAGTTCTGAATAGTTCCCTTTTCAAACCAATTTCTTTTAATGCTGTGTATCACATAGCTCACGACATATACATTCAGTAAGTTAATTAAGTTTTGCTAGCCCTTGCAAATAAGTCTTGGTTGGGTACTGATTATAGATGGTTGGATTTTGTCAGGTCTGGACCTAAAGAGAGACCATGTGGAGCAGCTTGTCATCCAGCTTATAGTTGAACGTGTTTTGGTAAAGAGTCTTGAACCTCTATTACTTCTATTTCTAATTTAGCTTCTCTTTTTTACTTTTTTTTTAAATACCAGAATCGCTTAAATAATCCGGATTAAACTCATTTTTTCTTGAATTTAACTCAACATTGTCTAGTAAAGAATGACAAATATATAGTATGTCAATACAATTCTCTTTATAACGTCAAATGCCATCAACTTTGCGTTTCAACTTTTTGATGCATATGTTGGATAAAATACATGAGTTGGGAGTCGCATGAAGCTTTACCAAATAGCTGAATGGTGCCCACTATAATCTAGGCAAGGAACTATTGTCCTTTACAAATGAAATTCCATGTTACTGGACTACTATAATCTAGTTGCTTTAATTGAAACCAGTCATTCAATACTATAATTTGTATTTGTTAATAAATATGCACTCTTATTTAACTTAGGCTATAAGAATGATTATCTTCAATTCTTTTCTTTATCCCGCACTATTCTTTTTTTTTAATGTAGAAAGAAGAGTTTCAACACACAGCTTATACGACAAATGCTTATCTGGCACTGGGTCCACTGGCAAAGCTGGTTATGCAAGGTAAAGTTCTCCACTGCCAAACTGCCAATTGTAGCTTTTTCTAACAGCTATATCAAATAGTTAAGATTTAAAGTTGAAAATGCCAACTGTTCCTCTACTTTCATGAGAGCTACCTCTGATTGTAAATATCCTTCATATCTGAACTATGAGATAGAAACATTTAAACTGTGACAAACAACTCCTATTCCCATAATGTAAGTCTGTTTTCCTAGTGGTTATGGTCTAATTTCCTACTGCTCCAGGTAAGAGGACTGTGAAGCTTCAGATCTCTAGTGAAGAGGAAAATAAAACTGCTGCCATAAAGCGTGCTAAGAGGAAGCCAGCATCATCCAGTTTGGAGTTCAGGCTCGACGAGCTACGCAGAGAGCTTGCTTCGCTTCATGGTGGAATATTCCCCCACTCAGTTTTGTCTACTCAGCAAATCAGCCTTCTAGCTGCTGAGAAGCCCGAATCAGTGGAACAGGCAAGTCACAAAATGCCTTTTGCTTTTTATGTCACACTTCATTCGCAGGCGCGTCATTTTGGATTGTTTTCTTTTCTACAGTTGGAGAAGATAATTGGGAAGGTGAAGAGTGGAAAGTATGGAACTAGAATTCTTGAAGAGATTGCAAGGGTCGACTGTGACACGCGCGTAGAGTCTCAAGGCAATAATGAGCAGACTACTGCAGATGACCGGCCTTCAAAGAAGGCAAAGACCAATGAAGAAACCATGGATAGAGTTTCGAAGAACTCAAGGACAGATGATGATGATGATGATGGAGATACGAAGAAGGGGAATAAGACCAAAAGATCACTTGTTCTTATAGATAGCAGTGATGATGAGGAATGAATGAATTCACAGCGGACTAAGTGCAGATAGCATGGTATAAGTATTTAGAATGGGAAAAGCTATTGTATAAGGATAAATCAATAGTCACACCAACCTTTGACACCACAGTTTTACATGCGATCTAGAATGTCTTTGAAATGGTGAAACCTAAACCCGCCTCATGGCGTGCCATACAGCTTTTTCCGGAAATTACCGCCCTGGTGCGTATCCCGATTCATGCAATAAGCCATTTTAAGCAATTGGCGTAAAGGCGTGTAGGACCGTTTCGCGGTGTGACCTAATAACATATACTCCCTCTGTCTCAGAGTATTTGTCCACTTTCATTTTTGCACACCATCCAATGCACTTCTTTAATCCATTTTATCTTGTAATTTGTACATTAAAAAATTGTAGAAATTATATATTAATAATCGATATGTTAAGATAAATCAAACAAGATCATACATGACTATATTTAGGCTTACACATTGAGAGAATTTGATGAGTCAAAGTGCTTAGATGAACAGTTCCAAAAGTTAAAAGTGGACGAATATAGTGGGACGGAGGTAGTATGTATGTATATATATATATATATATATATATATATATATATATATATATATATATATATATCTTATTTTATGTGTGACCTAATAAGGATTTATATAGGGAATAGTGACGTCCATCTTTCGTTGGAGCTCTGTCACCCATCACCCGGTATTGACCATCGTTGACGGGTGATTAACCACCACATTGCCACCATTTACACTACTATAATGTCATTAGATTATTACATTGCCACCATTCACGCTAACAAAATTCCATTTGTGAAATAAAAGTAAAAGTGATTAATTGCACTTTAATGCTACTCTTTTCTTCACCCTTATCTTTAGGGTAAAGAAATTTGACAAAAATGTAAACTTTCTCTTTGCACTAATAAATACTACGTAATATTTATCAAATCTCTACTATTTACCTTATCATATCTTCAATATCCATCTATAATATTTCCTTTTAAAGAAAACATAAATATGACAAGTCAATGTTTTTTCATCTCTCATCAGTGTCAGATTAAATCAAGAAATTATTTTTAAATGGCATGGTATGTCAAACGAGAGAAAAATTCATAATATTGTGAGTATTTTTTTTATTAGGGGTGGGTAAGTACCACCGAATTTAATACTCCGAGTATATAACAATAATATAATGCTACTATAACATTAAGTTTGACATCAATACTAACACCACCAGTACTCGTGGTGTCAAGTGTCAACCTTAATAACATCTTTGGTGTAACTATATTTATCCCAAATTTAACTAAGAGTATTTTAAATTCCAATTAATTCTCTTTAAGAACTAGTGAAGACGATATCATGCATGGCAAAATAATGATTAGTGCATGATTAGTCTTTATCGTCCAAAAAGGCAAGTGGCATCTCCTCCGACCGGAAAAGGTTGTCAAGATTCTCAAAGCACCTCTCATAATCAACATCATCATCATCAACAACGCCGCCCATATCTCGGTGTGGATGGTATGTCGCCGCCACCGCCAGCGGTGACTCCTCCTCCTCCGCCTCCGCCGCGTTTTGGTTGCAACGACGATGATCGTCGTTACAGTATAAACAGGAAGAACAAGAGTCATCATCAAGATCTCCTCCATGTTCTCGTGGGTGTTGGTGATTTTTATTGGAGGGATTGTGTGAGTGGATGCAAGTGTGGTGACCAAAGTATGTGGTTTGGAACTCATCTTGGGAGATTCTTTGGACCTGCTTTGTTGCTTTGCACCCTTCTCTCCCCTTCTGGGTGCACCTATAATAGCACCTGATGATCACCAATTTATTTATGTGAAATAGCACTAAAACATACTCCCTCCGTCCCTGAGTGTTTGTCCACTTTCATTTTTGCACACCATCCAATGCACTTCTTTAATCCATTTTATCTTGTAATTTGTATATTAAAAAATTATAGAAATTATATATTAATAATCTATATGTTAAGACGAATCAAACAAGATCACACATGACTATTTTTAGGCTCACATATTGAGAGAATTTGATGAGTCAAAATACTTAGATGAATAGTTTCAAAAGTCAAAAGTGGACAAACACTCAGGGACGGACCAAGTATGTTCTTTTCTAATGTAGAACTTAAAATTTTTTATTCTCTAATTAGTACTGGAATAATATGTACTGACGAAAACAATGTCCAATGATGGTGGACATTTAGTTTGAAAAATATCTAGGATAGACATTGAACAGTGGTACTACATTGGGAAATTCTTCTATACTATTCTAATTATATTAGAGGAAAAACATATTAAATTCCTAGTTAGACATGTGCAAACATGGGTTGACCCGTCCATCCTGTCCACCCATATATATTATTGAGTAATTTACCTAAATAGGACTAAAATATAATGTCTTCCTCAAAATAGGATCATATGTTTTTATTTCCTAATAATGTAGGACCATTAGTCATTATTTATTAGTCATTATTCAACTAAATGTCCAGCATCACTTGGACATTATTTTACTCACTAGTCATTATTAAGTCCTATTTAGAGAATAAAAAAGTTTAAGTGCTACATTGGGAAATGACTTATGTTTTAATCCTATTCAGTGCAAATTTTACATTATTTTAGACATGCACATTATTTAATTTATTGAAGCAACATTAATTCGATCTACTGTGTATGTAACAATCATATACTCTCTTCGTTCCAAAATACTCCGTTAAAATTTTATCTAAAACACTAACGTTAATAAAAAATGTTGTTCCAAACTAGACCTTAGAAATGTTTCTTAGTTAAAATAGAAAATAGAGATTGCAGGAAATAATTCGTTTTCTCATCACTTTGACTTTACATTTACAAAGAATAAGAAAAGAATATTACAGTAATGTTGTAAAATTATTTTAAAAAAATGAGAAAAGATAAAAGATGAGGAGGAAGAATTATAATATCCCATGTGGACCGTTACCAAAAAAGAGAAATAATTACTCCGCAATTAGTCGTGATTAACAGCCAGTGCAACACAAAAGGTCTAAACTTGCATTTCACATTATAGATAAATTGTTTTAAACACTATCACTTTAATTAATCTTTTACTAATTATAACACTACTCTCATTTTGTTTTCAAGTATTTATAAAATCTACTCCCTCCGTTTGGAATTGAAAAACCCTTCCCATTTGATTTGGGGGCAAAAATAAGGAAGTGTTAAATTGTAGTTGATTTCCAATTTTGCCCCTGATGTGATGGGTAAAAGTAAGATGTGATGGATAAATTATTAGAGAAAAAGTATGATGTGATACGTAGATTATGAAAAAATAAGGGTAAAAGTGGTTTTTTAATAAAAAGGAGAAGTGTTTTGTTGGAATTGAAAAAAATGAAAGAGTAAGTGTTTTTGAGAACGGAGGGAGTATTACATACGGAGTACTATTTATTTTACCTAATCCTACCAGATATTGTTTGCCTTTTGATATCTAATAAGTGATGGAATTTTTTTTGGTAAAAAACAAAATGTAATCTCCTCGTAGGCAAATTACATGGATCTAATGTCAATGGTGAATCTTCATATATGCTAAATAAGTATTTTCACAGTGTTAGAATAATAAATATTTTTAAAATAAAAAAGTGTACTACTATTCCTGTCATTGAGTATTTATCCAGTTTTGATTATATATTCTTTTTTTCAAAGTTGATAAACTTTGAGCATTAGTTAAACATTGGAGTAACTTTTTTTAGATATTGATATAAATTAAATAATTTTATTAGATTATCTTGTAAAATGTTTTCAAAATTAAAATTTAGGTCAAAGTTATGAGATTTCGATTCATTGTGAAAAATTAAAACTGGACAAATGAATGTAATATTTATGCATGCAGCTAGTTAGGTGTAGCATATATATACCTAGGATGTAGTGAATTATGGATGTGTTTCTGGCCATATTTTCTCCATGCATATCCATCTTCCATTGTTTTACACACATTTGTCCGGGTCTCTTCTCCACTGTTTTTTCTGCATATTAAAACAAGAGAACCTTAGCTTATATTCTTTCCTCCCACAAAAGACTTTAGGTCCCGTTTGGTACATGGAATTCAAATCACAGAATTGGAATTGGGGACTTCAATTCCAATCCTGGTGTTTGGTAGCACAAAAATTATGTTGATTTGGAATTTATAGTGCAAAAAATGAATTGAAATTGACAGAATTCAATTCTATGGAATTGAATCCCATGGAATTTCAATTCCAATTCAATTCCAATTCCACCAATTCCTTATACCAAACGGACCCTTATTGTTTGATTTTATTGTAGAGTTAAGAAATTGTACATTTAGAAGTAGAAACTATATGTGTGGAATTGAATTTGTTTAGGAAAATATAGAATTTTGTACGATATATGTTTTTTTATATTAAATGAAAAAGTAGATTTTTGATATTTTAATTTGGAGACATCTAGACAAGGATAAAATGGATAAGTAATATTCAAAATGTGAACATAACCCTAAAATGCCTTGTAGGCGTATAGTACTCCATTAGCCACTAGCTAGTTTGGGAATAATGTTTTTTTGTGTTAAAGTTTTAGATAATTTTGAATTAGCGATACATATTCAGTACTTTTAAGATAAATTTAGAGAAATTTACCTAAATAGAACTAAAACATAATGACTTTCCCAATATAGGATCATATGTTTTTATTTCCCAATGTAGGACCTTTGGTCATTATCAAGTAGTCATTATTCAACTAAATGTCCATCATTACTGGATATTATTCCTTCCACTAGGTCATTATTAAGTCCTATTTAAGGAATAAAAAAGTTTAAGTCCTACATTAAGAAAGTCATTATGTTTTAGTCATATTTAGTACAAATTTCACATAAATTTACCTAAATAGAATTAAAACATAATGAATTTCCCAATATAGAACCATATGTTTTTATTTCCCAATGTAGGACTTTTGATCATTATCAAGTAGTCATTATTCAAGTAAATGTCCATCATTACTGGACATTATTCCTCTCACTAAGTCATTATTAAGTCCTATTTAGGGAATAAAAAAGTTTAAGTCATACGTTGGGAAAGCCATTATGTTTTAGTCCTACGTCAGGTAGGTTTGGCACCGGTGGAAGACAAGTTGCGGGAAGCGAGGTTGAGATGGTTTGGCCATGTGAGACGGCGGGATGCTGACGCCCCTGTACGGAGATGCGAGAGGATTACGGTTATCGGGGGAAGTAGGGGAAGGGGTAGACCTAAGAAGAATTGGGAGGAGGTGATTAGACAGGATTTAGGACTTCTCGACCTGACTGAAGATATGACCCTAGATAGGAACCTTTGGAGAACTAGGATTAGAGTAGCTGGATAGGAGCTCGGTGTTGTAGAGGTTGTTTTGTAGTGTGTTGTATTTGTTTGGAATCTTTTGCTATTGTTTGTACTTGTTACTTGTACTTGGTGCCTTATCTGTGCTATACTGTGTTCTCTTCCATATTTTTGTGCAGGTGGAGCCGGGGGTCTCTTGGAAACAGCCTCCCTACTTCCGAGTAGGGGCAAGGTCTGCGTATACACACCTTCCCCAAACCCTACTGTTGTGGGATTCAACTGGGTTGTTGTTGTTGTTTAAAACGCTAAAACTAAACGCTAAAGTTGTTGGGAAAGGGACACCAGATCAAAGTGCTGTTAATCGACATCATCAGAAACACTAATTCTTCTCAACTCTAACGATAATTGCAAAAGTTGTTCCCAAACTTATAATCTGTGCCGAGTTATTCATCCTAAACGTAACACACACAGACACACACGTACAGACAAAAAATGATAGTACTGTTATACCTTCTTTTGTAACCACCTCTACCAGTCCTGCCCGGGGGCGACGCCCCGTTTTCCTGCACCCGCTTCCGGGCAGGCTCATCCAACCAAAACTTCTGACCGTCGTCGGAGTCGTTAGATAATAAGATCCCCCGCTGGCGGCCGGGCGGCGGCGGGGCAGCGCAACAGTTGTTGAGCTGGGATATGGCGTCGGAGAAAGACCTGAAGATCTCAAGAGAGAGTTTGCTATGAACGGACGGCGACGATCCGCTGAGGCCTTCGGCGGCGGTGCCGGGGCTGCGTTGGAGGAGGGTTTGGAGCCTCGTTGCCATTTCTCTGCCTTTGAGGAGGTCGGAGACCACTCTTTTCCGGCAGACTCGGAGGAGGTTTTCCGACTCCTTCTCCATTTGTCGTTGTTTCGGCCGACGCCGTCGGTTGAGGAAATGGGGAAATGTGGAAGTAAGTGGGAGGAAACACCTGGGAATTTAAGCTTTAATGGGGGAAAAGCCATCACAAGACTACAAAAAAGGGGGGGCAAATCCCCATTAATTATTACTACAAAGTAAATTACGCCGTGGGGTTTAAGTCATCTTTTGGCACTTTTTTTCTTTTGAGAAAACAAAAGGGTCAGGAGTATGGATGACAATTTTATCCGAATCCGACTTTTTCCGACCCGACCGAAGTATATAATATCCGAATCTGACCGAAAAAATAAATATCCGAAACCGACCCGAAAATTTTAAAATCGAACCCGACTTTTGTCGGGTCGGTTTTCGGTAATTAAATTTGACCGACCCGACCCGTACCCGACCGACCCGATAATTAACCCGAAATGAAAGGCCTTTTTAAAATATAAAAAAAACCTTTTTCAATTAAAAGTCCAAAGCTTACGGGAGTTACCCGTTATGGACTTACGTCTGTTCTCTGGAACCCTAGTCCCTCCTCTTGGTTTCTCGTATCCACAGGCAGCCGGCAGCCCTCCTACCGGAGAACACATCGGCGAATCCGGCGATTCTTCTCATTCTCCATCGGCGACCACAGTGCACAGCGGCAATTCTTGTCATTCTTCATCGGCGACCGCACAGAGCACACTCTATCTCCTCCTCCAACAGGCATCATCATTGATTCATTACAAAAAACTGATTTATTAGAATATTGGTATGGTCAGTCGGTCAGGTCGGTCGGGTCGGTCGGTTTTCAGGTTGGGTTAGGCTTAGGTTTTTGTCAAATTCTCGGGTTCGGTTGCGGTTTCGGGTTTCGGTTTAGGCAGTCGGGTTCGGGTTCGGGTAGAAATTTATACCCGACGATTCGGGTTCAGGCAAAAAAAATATCCAATTAAAATTTCGGGTCGGTTTCGGGTAAGGGTATATCCGAACCGGACCCGACCCGTTGCCATCCTTAGTTAGGAGACTAAATATTCATTTTCCCCATCACATTTACTCCTTGACCTTTTCCTTGTTGCTCAGGTAGGAGTCTTCCGTTCAACTTATTTTTCTCTTCTTATTTCTTATTCTTGTTATAATCAGATCAGATTAGAAACAACTTCAATTAAAACTGCAATTAGATCAAATCATATAAGACCAGATTAAATCTCCAAAAAATCAGATCAGATTAGGCTAGCTACTTGGATTAGTGTTTCCAACGAAGGTTTTGGGCCTTGTGAAATAGTGAAATAGTTTCTAGGCATTGAATGTGCTCATTCTTCTTCTGAAATGGTATTATGCCAGCGCAAGTATGTGTTGGATATTTTATAGTAGGCTGGGTTGTTGGGATGTAAATCGGCTGCCACCCCACTACCGACCAATCATGGTTTGGGTATGTCAACTGCATCCTTACTCCATGATCCCGCTCGATTTCGTTGCCAAGTGGGTCTCTTCATTTATTTGACCATCACCCGCCCAGAAATTTGTTATGTTGTTCATGTCTTATCTCACTTTATGCATGCACCCACTCTTGATCACATAAATGCCGTCATGCGTGTTCTTTGTTATATCAAGGGTCATCCTAGATAGGGACCCTATAGTGCCCTGTTCATTAAATTGACGATTCTTATCCCTGGCAAACTTCAACTTCAGCCCGACCCAAATCAATCTTGCACACCCTTTAATTTTAGTTAATTTTAGAGTTCAATATGATTTGTAGCTTTTATTTATTGGTCCATGCATCCGGATTGTCAATTGGCCAATCGACAAAACCGAGTGTCTAGGACTAGACACAATTCTGGAACTGGAATCAGAATAGGTACCAGAACCGATACCAGAATAGCTCGGAAAGGTTCAAGTTCAGATTGGAACCGAAAGTGCTATGAACCGAAACTGTTTTAATATTTTTTTATATTTTTTATATTTATTTTAAATTTATTTGAAATTTGTTCACAATATTTACTACAAAATAAAAAAGTTTGAAGTCAATTATATTGCTCCTTTTTACCAAAAAATTTACTCCGTATCAAAAATAATTTTTTCGGAACCGGTTAGAAAGCTAAACCGGGATCGAAACCCCTTTTATAGTGCCATGATATTGAATGTCAACCGAACCAGTATTAACTGAAATGTTTTTTCCTAACACTATGTTTGGTTCAAAGAATTTGGAAAAAAAAGAAAAGTAAATGAGTTTCTCTCATTTTCCTCATTAAAATAAAAGAATTTTTGTTTTTCCTCTTTTTAGTTTCTTCTTATTTTCTTTTTTTTCTTTTCTTTTTCTCTCTAATTAAACAAGAAAAAATATTCCCCTTTTATATTTTTCTTTTTCTTTTCAAATTCCATTGTGTAAATTTTTTCAAGGATGGACCGGAAAGTGGATGAGGTTGGAAGCAAAAAATTGCTGCCAGATACCCTCTATTTTGTGGTAAGAACTGCCAGATACCTCTAATTTTTAAAATATACTCTCAGGTACCCCAAATTATAAAAAAAATATACCAAGAGGTGATTTTCCATCCATTCTCCATCCATCCCTCCTTTCTCCGTTAAGTGTACCACCATCATCATCATCATCATCCTCATTCCAGCACCACCATCCCATTTCTTCGTACATCCTCCTCTTCTTTTTCTTTCTTTCTTTCTTCTTCTTCTCCTTCTTCTTTCTTCTTCTTCTTCTCCTCCTCCTCCCCCCCTTTCAACTTTCGATCTTCCAGACCCCCCCCCACCACTCACCCTTATTTCTTTTTCTTCTCCTTCTATTATTATTATTATTATTATTATTATTATTGTTGTTGTTGTTGTTGTTGTTGTTGTTGTTG